CTGAAATCAGCGCCCGAAAATCTTTTGGAATCAGTCAAAATATTTCCAAAATAGCGAAAACAAATCTATTTTTTTGCTAAAAATTCCGATGTTGCAACCAAAGTTTTTGTTGTTTTCCAGTGGTACACGCCCTGAAAGCTCATCAAACAGGATAATTTGGTCCTTTTCATCAAAAACACTTTGTCCAACTAGTTGTTGATTATATTTTTCCACTACTATAGGGGAGACCCAGGATTTATGGTTCCTTTCAAGGCAATCTTATAAGTCTTAAGCACCTGTAATAAAAATTAAAAATTATTCTAAGGATAGGTTTTAACTTGATATTATTCAAATTAAGTAAAATGGACTGCTATTCATGATTTTATTTAAAACTCATTTACTCAATTTGAATATAATAAATATCAAAAACCTTATTCGTGCTATTCATGCTTTATCCACGGTTTTAACTTGATATTTATTAATTATCAATTAATTTATTAATTATCAATTAATTTATTAATATTTATTAATTATCAATTAATTTATTAATTATCAATTAATTTATTAATATCAATTAATTAATAAATTTAATTATTGTCTTACATTTAAGTACATTATGAAAAAACATAGCAATATTCGGTTCGGTTTTATATTGAAGAAGCAAATATTTAAACTAAATGTATTAATAATGTAAGATGTAACATATTATTAGACCAACTTGCCTTTTTAATGTAGATTTAATGAAATTTAATAAAAACATAATTTTTACCTAAATTTTAAATATATTTTTTCGACATATGCATATGCATTTTCTGACGTGGTCCACCTTCATAACTTGGGTGCTTCTGATCAAATTGTAATAGAAAGAAAGGCAATAATAATAGTCTATAAAAAAGGTCTTGAAAATCGATTGAAACTTAGTAAAATACATGGATAAAAAATCGATTAAAACTTAGTAAAATCCATGGATAATAATAATAAAGTCCATGAAAAAGACTTTACAATCGAATAAACTTAAAATAAACTTAATAAAAAATACACATATAAGTTTTTTGCATATTTTTCTATAATACAAGTATCTATTACAAGTTACAATTGACACATTATTGCAATATAAATAGTCTATAATTAAATTATCAAAAGAATTTTGTGTTTCATAGCAACTAAAAGGAAGTAGTAAACAAGAGCTATTTCTTCTAATAATAATCAATGCTTGTTTATTAATATTTATCATATCTTATAGCTTTAAAAGACTCCATTACTTTAATTCGTTTGAAATTGAAAAAAAAATCTAGTGGTAGAATAAATTTACCCTCGAAATCCGCAGAAGATTGGTTTTGAATTTTACGAGAGCCCATTCATTGAATTACTTGAACAGTAAAAAATGTGAATGATTAATGAAAATCTATTTTATAGCAAATAAAAAAGTCACAACTTGCAAACCATATGTTTATAGAAAGTTAATAAGAAATCATAACAAGAACGAGTCTTAATAGCAAATATTTATTGACTAATTACTAGACTAAAAATTTTCAAATTTTTAAAATAAACCCATATTTTTCTCCGATAACTTGATCGCGCTACTTACTCTGTGATTGACGCTTATACTCGTCATGAACTGCAGGAGTTTAAATTTGTAGAGATTGTTATGTGAATATAAATCAATTCTGTAGCAACTTTTGTTAACAAGATCATTATGATAAAGTAAATAGCAAAAGATTTTCTTAACACTTTTATGAGGAACTGGAAAAAGTTGAATCAATTTAAAATATAGTTATTGGCTGAAGCTTGATGATTTATATCATTCAATGAAACGCCTTCGCCGCAGCAGCAGTTTAATTTATTAAATGAGTTTATTTTTATTAACTGAGAACCCAGAACCATATTTTTACTGCAAAAGGCAGAAGTGATATAAAATAAAATATCACTGCCGGAAAGCTATGAAATGGCAATATTTCAGATTCGAAAATTGTTCAAAATTTTGATATGAAAGTATTTAACACAATTTATACTATTTGTTAGTACTAAGTTTATACTAGTATAAACAAATAAACATGTTCTAAACATAGTTTTGAAGTTATTTCATAAAATGTAAAAAAAAACGTCCAAAATCCACCTATAGCCAATTAACAAACTCAATTCTGCGCTTCAACTACAAATTATTCAAAATTTTAATATAAAAGTGAATATAACAATATACACTAAAATCTTGCATATTTTATCTAGTTTATACTAAAATGAACATATAAAAGCGTCCAGAATAAAATTTCCAAAATATTTGACAAAATGTAAAAAAAATGTCCCAAACTCGCATATTGAATGCAATTGAATAAAATGAATAAAATTTGTTTGATTAATGATTCATAAATCTTATACAGCATAATTGTACTGTTAGTGTTAGGTCGCTAAAATCATTATTCTGCTTTTGAATGATATTTTAAAGTATTCCAATATTAAAAATAATGTTGGTCATTTAATTTTGTGCAATTTTTTTAAACAAATAATATTTATTTTATCAATTGAATTAATTAATTAATTTAATTGAAAATGGTACATATGATTCAAAAGAAAAAACATTACTTGCAAAGAGCATTTAAGAATTTTGTCCCTTTTATGATGTAAATATTGAAATATTGAAAACAACTGCACTTTTAATCAATATTATTAACACGACAATTAATACACAAATATTATTGTTTTCAAAGAAAACATTCAAAAACGTATTTCCTTGTATAAAAAACACACGTTTTGTGTGAACAATGAAAAAACGTATTTTCGTCTTCTGACTTTGAGATGTTTTGAAAAAGTAAGAAAAAATAATAATAAACTAAATGCGACTTGTTCTTCTTGATTAATTTAATCCACGGATTTTCACCAAGTTTTTGTGGTTTTATTCTCATATAAAATACTTAATAATTAACAAATACATTTGGAAATAAACAGCTGTCAAACAACTGTCAATTTTGACGTTTGACGTTTAACCTTAAACAATCTAACTCACTTTTGACGTTTTAAGTAACAAATTCATGTATTAATCATTATTTTGGACCTTAATGAATATCACAATGTGTTGAAACAAAATATCTGTTTAGAATTATGCCCAACAGTTTGCCAAAATATTTATAAACACATAAACATGAACCACTTTGCCTTAAAATTAAAATATGAAACATTATTTTGTACTTACCTAAATCATATTTTCACAATAAACACACTTCAACTTTAAATCTATTTAAATTTATGACTTGTACATTTATTTTTATTATTATTATAAAGAAACAACTTGTTTAACCAAGTCTCAGACAGAACTGACTGTTGATATATTTTAAAAATATTTACATCAAAATTTAAACACAGAGCATAAACATATATTTATATAGACTGGTAACATAGTTTTTAGTATCAACATTTTAGCAGTAGTTTAGTTTAGCATAGTTTTCTTTCTATTTTTATTATCTGAATTGTTTGTATCAATTACATAAAGTTAATTAGGAAAACGACATTTATAAATAATTACACAAATTACAAAAAAAAATAATATAATGCAGACTTGGAAAGAAAATAAACATGTTAATACGTTATTGTTCTACAATTTTAACAATAAGAGTTTATAAATTAAATAACGATTCGATTTCTCTGATAAACTGTCTAAAAACTTACACTGCAATGAATTAGTCGTTGATAATTGAATTAAATTATATTTTCTTTCACAAACCTGTGTTTTTACAGTACACTTTTTTGCAATTCCTTTCTAAGGTATAAAATTTGTTATATATTTATACATTTTTTAAATATACAGACAAGTTTTCACTGTTTTATTCATATATCACTCATATACATGAATAATTTTGTAATTTATTAACAAAAGCAATTTTCTAATTAAATCATAATAGTTTAGTGGAATTGCTTTTAAATTTTGTAAAAAAAATTAGTTCTACATTCCTGCAACACGTGAATCCATTAAATATTATAAAAATACAAAGATACAATTTTTCTTCAAGTTTTAACTTATTGGTTTACAATAAAATTACTAATGATGATACAAACTAGCCACAAAACATTGGTAAACTAACAAAGTTAGCGCAAAATAGTCTTACTGTGTACTTATTGAGAGTAAAGTTGGTTAAATATTTTGGAATATAAAAAAATCAAACCAAGGTCAAAGAAAAAATTAAAATTAATTAAAAAAATGTTCAATATTACATTTTTCTTTAAATTTCGTTTATTTTAAATAATCAAAATCAAATGACATTCTGTGAAAAAAACACAAAATGAGCAATTTGAATTATCTAGTGAAAACAAACCACTCCTTTGCAAAGTTGAAAAACAATTAAATTAATAACATATAATAAATACTACTTTTTACATTTTATGATTATTTTAATTGATCATTACAATTTTTACAAGTATATTTCAGTAATTAATTATTTTATAACTACTTAAGACTAATTTTATAAAAAATTTAGTACAGTAATCTATGTGATTACATATTGATTTGATCAACTAGTTTAAATTTTACAATGAAACAAAACTTTAAACAAAATTTTCATTTATCAAACAAGTTTCAAATCTAAATATACTGCTATCATAATATGATAAACTATACAATTTAACATTATGTATACAATTGTTAATTATAAAATTATTCTTCAAACAGTTGGTGATCATAATAAAATAAAACCAATTTTCAAAATATAGAAAATTTAAAAAATTATTTTTAGAAATGTGAAAATACCATACTAGATGTATGTCGAAATACACACACACATACACATCACAAACATTATAAAGTTATTGGTATATATAAGATTGTAAGTAAATATATACACACTGTAATACTACGCTATGCATGAATTTAAAATCTTGTTTAAATTTAAGGTTGTCAAATATCTCCCTTCCGCCTTTTTGTATTATAAACCAAGAGCAAAAAAGCGGAAGGGAGATATTTGACAACCTAATATATGTTGTATAACTTTAGCTTTAAAAATAATTATATATTTCTCAAATTCATATTACTGCAGGCCAAAATATTAGACAGACTTACCTCTTTGCTTTTTTGTTAAACATTAAAGCATTTCTTTTTCTATTACTTCTTAATTTAACATCACAATCGACCTTTAAATCTTCACTTTTGTATTTAACTATTTTTAATTCTTCAACATTTTCCTCAATCTCATTACGCAGGTATGATTTAGTTTGTTTTGAAATAATCTTTGTGTTTCTTTTGGTACTTTTCATTTCATTGGCTGTTTGTTTGCATTTATTGATATTTTCTTTATTTTCTCTAATATTCTTCATTTCTAAAACTAATCGCATAGCATATGTTAAACCGTCTACTTCTATGTTATCAATTGATTTTCTTTCCTCGGCTTTAGTTTTCTTGTTTGATTTAGCTTCTCGAATTGATTTTAACACAAGTTTTATTGCATATGTGGGTTTGCCTTCATATCTAACATATTCATCATTACCTGATGAATTCGAGTCAACCTCATCACCACAAGTCATTTCATCTAAAGTTACTTGTAATAAATCTTCTGCTTGGTTGCATAAAATTTCATTCCATGTTTCAAATGATTTTTTAGTGCTCTTGTTCCTAAGCTTTCTTGGACTTAACCGCAACTGTTTGGATCTTAAATTTTTTGGAGACAGCCTCTTAAATAGACTTTCATTCGATATAAGCATTGACAATGAATAGTTTGCAGCTAGATTTTGCAAAGATGGTTTCTCTGATTTACATTTGAACTCATCCAATCCATTTTTTATACCTGCAAAATTAAGATTCATGTCATGTGGTGTAAAGCCAAGACGTTTGTACTCGGTCATAAAAATATTTCTGCAGTAATCATAATCTGGATCTTCTGTATAGTCAATAGTGCAGACATACTCTAAATATTTTCTTATAAAAGTAGGATATCGTCCTTTATAACAATAGTTCATCATTTGTTGAACATTATTCATAAAACAGATTTTCATACGATGAACAACTTCAGGCTGGGAGAGTATACATTCCTCTTTCCATGGAAGATCACCAGTAATCCAGTCTAATAAATTGTATCCTAAACATTCCAAATCAGACCTGCGGCTATGTGCTCCAAAATGTGCATCTCTAGATGTGTACTCTAATGTTCCATCATGAGCTCGTCTCTCATCCACACAAAAAGCCCTATGGCATCCATGGGAATCTACAAATTTAGAAGCTAAACCATAATCAATCAAGAATACACGTTCATTAACATTCTTCATATTTTCTCTTGTACAATCATCAGGTATATAAGAACTACTAATAGTGCTTTCATCATCATCCAAATCAGATAATTCTTCATTATAATTTATATTAGATTTTCTTCTCAAATTTCGTTTCAAAGATTCTTCCTTTTGTTGTATTTCATCATTCCTATTTCGACATTTTCTTAATGGATTGCATTTTCTTGTATTCAAAGATTTTTCATTGACTTCCTTTATATATAAAGTTTCACTGTTTTCATCAGATTCTTTTAATACTTTCTCTACACCTATCATAAGATTATGAGCCTTGATGTCAGAATGTGCAAAACCTTTGAAATGTATATATTCCAAAATATCTAAAATCTGAATCGCTATGATCAAAATGTTTTTGATAGAAACTTTATTTTTTTGGAGAAGATAATTTAAATCTACTCTATATCTTGGTATTATCATGAAACGATACTTTTTGTTGTCAAAAATATGCGAACCGGAAGCAATATATAGAGGCACACCAGAAACAGGAACATTGTCTTCTAAAATAGAAAAATATAATTATAAATATAACTTGTTGTCGGTAAACTTAATGATTTATATATAATAAAATATTACATTAATTATTATATTAATATTATCCATTCTTTATTTTTTTTCTAGTAATTTATATTTATGTTGTTCAATTAAGTAATATATTTATATATAAAACTTAATTATTCCGTAAAATAATCTTTTTAATTATATATTAATATATTTTATATATATATTTATATATATTATATATAATAAAATATTTATATTATTATTAATTATTCCGGTTATTTAATTATATATAAACTATTTAATTACCAATAAATTGTTGTCGGTAAACTTAATGATTTATATATATATATATTTATATATAATAAATATTTCATTAATTATTATATTAATATTATCCATTCTTTATTTTTTTTCTAGTAATTTATATTTAAGTTGTTCAATTAAGTAATATATTTATATATAAAACTTAGTTATTCCATGAAATAATCTTTTTAATTATATATTAATATATTTTATATATATATTTATATATATTATATATAATAAAATATTGATATTATTATTAATTATTCCGGTTATTTAATTATATATGAACTATTTAATTACCAATAAATTGTTGTCGGTGAACTTAATGATTTATATATATTATATATAATAAAATATTGATATTATTATTAATTATTCTGGTTATTTAATTATATATGAACTATTTAATTACCAATAAATTGTTGTCGGTAAACTTAATGATTTATATATATTTATATATAATAAAATATTTCATTAATTATTATATTAATATTATCCATTCTTTATTTTTTTTCTAGTAATTTATATTTATGTTGTTCAATTAAGTAATATATTTATATATAAAACTTAGTTATTCCATGAAATAATCTTTTTAATTATATATTAATATATTTTATATATATATTTATATATATTATATATAATAAAATATTTATATTAGAAATATTAATTGGTGCAATGTTAACCTGTCAAGCGTCCTATTCTAATTAGACAATTAATTTCAGCAAAAAGGGGTCCACTGGAATGGGGCTCAATTTTGATAACATACTCTGCATGATCTGATACACAATTATTGACATCATTAGAAGCTGTAAAAATCTCACCGAAACTTCCCTTTCCTGTAATTAGAATATATTAGTTATTAATAGAAAATAAAAAAATGAAGGAACTTATTATTATTATTATTTATTTATATATATATATATACATTATTTTCATATCTCAGTCAGACAGAGGTGCCTCGTATGAGAGATTATGAAAACAGTTTTCATATTTTATATATACATTTCATTTGACTATTTCATTAATATAATATCTAATATAATTAAAATATCTTTATATATAACTCTTCAGTCTTCTTTATCTTTAATTTGTCATTGGCAATTCGTTATATATTTTGCTAGCACTCCATATGACATTTTCTCTCAAATTCTTTTTTCTATTGTGTTCAATGTGAAAATTGTTGTGTTGTCTAGTGTAGTGTTCATGTATATCTTGATTTATGTCTATTGTTGCGCTTTTTTAATTCGGTTAAATTTCATTTTGTGTATTAGTTTGCATTTCTCTATTTTAATTATGTTATTTAGTAAATGATTATTTGTTTCTCTCTGTAAGTATTTGGTGGGTGTTAGATGTGGAAAATTATACGCTATTTTTATGGCTTTATTCATTATTCTCTGTGTGTCATTTAGATTAGCTTTAGTTGTTTGGCTCCATGTTGTTATTCCATATAAAATTATAGGTATTATTTGCGTTTTAAGAATGAGTGGATCCTTTTCAATGCCCCTGTTAATGTTCCTATCTATCTTTTTATTTTGTTTATATGTTCTGTCCATGTCAATTTTTCATTTATTACCAGTCCTAAGTATTTTACGCTTTCCACTTCTTCTATTTCTCTATTATTTACTTTAATGTTTGGTTTGGTATTCTCGGTATTTTTTCTATGTTTGAAATATATGTATTTTGTTTTATCGATGTTAATTGTTAGTTTATTTTCAGTTAGGTGTATATTCTCATGTCCGTGTTTATAGTATCTTCAAGTCTTTTTTTATCCTTATCCGCATATACTATGGTAGTATTGTCTGCATATAATATGTATTTTTCCTTTAATTTTGCGTCTTTAAGGTTATTGGTGTATAATAGATATAATAAAGGTCCTAATACAGAACCTTGTGGAACTCCACAGGTTATGCTACATCCTCCACTTGTGAAATTTCCCAACTTCGTCCTTATCACTCTTTCCATGAGAAAATCTTTGATAATGCTGTAAGACAAACCCTCTACACCCGAATCTATTAGTTTATTGAGTAATATGCCATGATCTACTGTGTCGAAAGCTTTTTGTAAATCAACAAAAATTGCAACTGTATGCATATTTTCCTCAAGGTGCTGACTGATGGTATTAGTCAAATCTATTAGGGCACCTTGTGTATTTGATGAAGGGAGGAAACCATATTGATTTTTGTCAATCTTTTGAATGAGAAAATTAAGTAATATTTCTTTTACTACTTTTTCATATATTTTGGAAAATGTATTAGTTATTATAATGGGTCTGTAGTTATTTGTATTTGTTTTGTTTCCTGTTTTGAAAATTGGTTTTATTGTAGCTGTTTTGAGGCACGATGGAAATACACCACATTTTATGTATCTATTTATTAAAACAGCAAGTAGTGGAGCTATTAGATTTATTATTTTTTTAGTGATTCTTGCTGTTATCTTGTCTTCCCAAATCAAAGAATAAAATAATAAAAACATAAATCTTAGTGTAAATTGTTAAAACTATCAAGTAAACTATAACTTGAAGAGCCTGATGCAACTTTCTACATGTAGGTACACATTGTAAACATAACGCACAACTTAAAACTTCATTAAAATGAACATTGTTAGATCAAGTATTTAGTGGTTTAATTCAGAGAGATAGAAATAACCCTTCATAATATTTATATAACAGTACATGTTTATAATCTATTAAGAAGCAGTAGTGTAAATATTACAACAAATGATATACAAAGTTATATTTTAGTAAGCTAAAATTAGTTCAGGCTTATTGATATGCTTCCAATTGAAAAAAATGCTTCCAATCTCATAAAAGTAAAAAGATCAATATACAATAATAATAACTGAATACAATAATGTTATATACACTTTATACTAAAATAACTACTTCAACAACTATCTAAATTCTCTTTTATCCTCACCTATAGCATTACCAATCCTCCACTTTCTTTTATTTATATCTGTCACAATTGTGTTTACTATCAAATCTTTTGACAATCTAAAATTTTCGTCATCTATTGAAATCTCATCAGCATTTTCGAAATACTTAAACTTCTTAGGTGTGAAAGGAATCGGTACTGCGTATCTTTTGCCCATTTTATAATTGGAATAATCTATAACACATAATGTTGGTTAAAACCGATAAATTCGACATCATTGTTTGCATTTTCGTTAGAGGACTGTACACAATTATTACCGAATGTTAAGTCGAGTGTTGCACAGCATGATTTACACGAAAAATTTAGCTTTTGGATAATGATAATATTAATACTGTCAGTAAATGCTATTGTTAATTATTTAAATATTATTAAACACATTTCCTAAACTTCAAACGAATTTTTATTCGCCATCATTTTTGCACTAATGAAATGATAACTTTTACTCGAGAGTGTCGTAGCCATCTATTAGAGGTATTGTTTACTAAAACTGCTAAACTGGCGCTAAATTTGAATTTGAATTTAAAAACAAATAATAATATTGTATTACAAATATAGTACGAACGTAATATAATTTTAAAACAATTGAAAAAAACTGATACGTATCACGCATATAAATCAGATTACTTAAGGTTTTGATAAAGTTAAAACAAATGATTCTAACCTAATCTATTCTAAACTGATATAATTTTGTTTCAAATACTTAAATAGTGAAGGATTATGCTTAAAATTATTCTCATATTATTTGAAAGATAAAAACCATCATATATACATATACAAAATAATAAATATATTGCTCAAACTTTCACATGGCACAATGCAAATAATATCAATATTCATTATTTACAGACATTCATAAATCACCATCAACATTTTGTAATAAATAAGTAATCATGGATAAAACATAATTACAATTATATAATTATAAAACATAATTCACACATGTCCTTTATAATTTGACAACAGCTTTGTGAAGGTCATTTGTCCTACTTTTAGTGGTACTTTTCGAATAATCCGAAATAAATTTTCTTGGTCAATATTTTCAGGTAATTTTGTTAAAAATTGTGCTGCCGATATAAAATCCATTTCTATTAGAGTTGTTTGAAAATAAGTCAGAATTCCTGAAACAAATTATGATGAATTGTAGAAAGAAATTGTTGAGAGGATAATTTTTACTTTTGTACCTATAGCGGTTTGAAATAAAGCTTCTTCACCATCCCTTGCAAATAAATCCCAAACTCTACATGCTATGTCAAATGGCATGGCTCGGGAAAATACTGAATACAGCCAATCAACACAGTATAACTCTGCAGTCAAACCGAGTTCCACAAAATGTGCATGCAATTCTGGCAAACAATTGCTAAATAAATCATCATATGCTCTGAAATGTTAAATATTTCTCTTTAATATAAAGATGAATTGTTAATAGCAAAAAAACAATACCTGAAGTATGCTTCTAATTTTCTTTGATCTAAACTAAATGCTGCTGAGTGCAAAGGTTTTTCTAAAATATTGCAGAATGTTATGAAAGCATTTGGGGGTTCCATATTTACCAATAGAACAGCAGCAATAAAAGACATTCCCTGTGATAAAAAATATTAAACAATGAATAGTATAAAATGGAGCAATGCCTTATGATTGTTGTTTTATATATGATTACATTCCTATTGTACCTGAACGTATCCGATATTTGGTTTATAAGTAACATAAGATGCTAAGAGAGCATGTAGTATTGGAAAGTAAGGGCAGCCTTTTTGAAAAACCCCCAAACTGGGAAAAGTTCTAGAAATATCTAATTGTATTACATTCAAACAAGAGTCCGATGATTTTTCACTTGAATGATTATTGTCATTGCATTCACAATTCGTCCTATCACAAAAACTAAATCTATGAGCATTATTTGTTTGGCAGCTATCAATACACTGATTGCCATAAATATTTGTAACTTTAATAGCACTCTCACTACTGTTTAATGATTCTTTATTTATGAGATGTATATTAGCATTTGCTGAGAATAATTGATAAATTTTATCATCCTGAGCATCATGACTTATTTTAATAATATCATCAACAGAGCAACCTAAGTTTAAGGCTATTTTGATGCTCGCTTTGCACATATTAGAGTAATAATCTTCATGAGTTAATTGCAATTCATTTCCAAAAGCCAGTAGCCAAACTTGACCGCGAACTGAAGGCGGTAGGCCATGCCACCAAAGTGATTGAACGTATTGACTATTTTGACTAAAAAAGATAAATAAATAATTATTCACCAAGAATAAATATTAATATGTTATATCTGAGCATTACAGTTTAGAAAACTTTGGTAAAATTTCCTGCCATTGTTTGATTCTTTTAGCTTGTGCATCTTCACGTTTTACTCTATTTTTAATTTCAATCTGCCAAGCGGTTAGTTGTTTTTGTTCCTTGATTCTTGCCTCTTTTAATATGCTGTCATATTCTGCTTTATGTCGAGATTCTTCATTAATATCTTTGGCTGGTAGTGTGGACGGTCTGTCAAAAATAAAAATATGAAAAAGGATACTTGGCAATTTTATATATAAATCACTGATTTACCTAATTTGCTGAATAAGTGCTGTAGAGCTGGCTACAACATGACTATATTTTTGTTCACTACTATGAGTACTAGGCTTATTCCATAAATTCCATCCTTTTCGTTCAGGAGCAAATACGGAGACAGCCCTTAAACAAAACACATGAATAAATTTACTGTTCAATGCTTATGATTCTTGTACAATACCTATTGAATAGATCAGATAATCCATATTTCTTGGAGCATCATTACTCAGTTTTAAATCATCAGTATCATCAGTAACATCTTTTAAAAGACTTGAACTATTATAATTCCCATTCGAACTTGAAATATCACTTGAGCTACCACTATTATATATTTGACAATTCGAATGTCCATTTGCTAAGTTTTTGTTTTCAGTAGCTACATCATTATCTACAGATGCCATATTTTCTTTAAATATATAGAATTAATAAAATATCCATCTGGATAATGTATCTTATTTGAAATTGAATCATAAGTTAAAGAGGGACTAAGCATTGCCCAGGTAAAGACATTTCACTTGTGCAATTAATATCTGCATCACTATTTTCTTTTGTGGCTGATGACATTCTTCTTGTTTTTTGTGGAAATATTTGTATTTTGTAAAAGGGTACATGTTCAAGTCTGTAATTGCTGCATTGGTAAATTTTCAAGTGAACAATTTTACTATTAACGATAAAATTAAACTAATTTAATATGTATCTATTATATTATCACTGAAATTTATTATTACAGTTGTATACGGACGCAATAAATATAATTAAATAAATTGTGAGATTAGCAGTTTGACATTTGATGACATTTTAGAAAAACATTAGTGTTAATAGAATCGTGCACAGATGGCACCACGTGTGCAAAATCTATTTCATGACTTATGGCAACACTTTTCAAAGTGTTTATCTGACAAATTTGAATTAAACGTTAAAGTTATTTACAAAACTGTTTTTATTTACAATAAGTAATTAAGAAGTTATAGTTTATAGTTGAAATTATCAAAGCAAAACCCATAATAAATTATCAAAGCAAACTACATAATAAATAAAATTAGAATAATTCATTAATTAATTAAATAAAGTGTAATATAATATTGGTAAGTAAATATTATAATCATTGTTATACATGTTATAATTAATATGTTTTACTTTTAACTAATAATAACAATATTGAATGATTGAATACCTGGATCTTTTTAATAAATATTAAGCATATTTTTAACCTGCAAAACAAAATATTGTTACAAAGTCTTCATACCAACAACTATTCTTTACAACCAACCGTCATAAAAGCAGCATTTGCAGTCTCTGTACTTTTATCTAACACTTTGTCAACATTATCAAGATTCCGTTTAGCATCCTCAGCATCTTTCACACGCCTGCTCAGAAAGTTCCATGTTGACTCATAGTTTTGAGACCCATCTTGTAACATATATAATTCTGTTGATTTATAAATTCCTAACACAGCTAGTCTTCGACTGTACCATCGGAACTAAATGAAAACATACAATATGTAATTGATAACAATTATATAAATTAGATAAATATGATATACTTACATCCACAGATCTATCGCCAGCATGATAACAAATATCATCGGCTAATTTTAATACAGTTGGCATAGAAAGATGTATATTGTTTGGCATTGCTAATAAAGCTAGGGCTTGCGGCCATTGCTTCATGTAAGGTGTGTTCATTAGTAGCCGTTCTCGTATTGCAAACCAAATAAAATCAAATGCAGTCATATTTAAACTTTTATGCTAAAACGTTATTTCTCAAATTAATAATATACATATATGTGCCCATAATTATGAAAGTGGTCTAAGTCATATATTTCTTGTTTCAAAATATTTAATGAATTGCATTTGAATAAATTAAAAAATGTTTTTACATTATGCGACATTTTAATTTTTAATTTTATCAGTCTTAATTAATGGAAATTTATTATGAATATGAAATTTTGTGGGAATTTCACACGATAATATTGTTTTTAAAGTTTGAATTGACTTAGACCATTTTCAAAATTAACTGAATATAAATGACTTAAAGCAATAAAGAACTTTGAGTTTTATTTGAAACAATAATTTTATTGAAATAATTCGTGAGCATTTATTAATTATTTTTAAACGGTAATCTATTTTTATTATTATTTTGAGTATTTAAGATTCTTAAAATGTTCCTGAAAAACTGGAGGGATGTAGGGTAGTAAACTCATAATATCTTTATGTTTTTTTTCCGATACTGGTCTAATGCTGGTGTATAAAAGAAGTAATTTAATATTTCCGTATATTTTTGATCTTCCTCTTTTAGGTGAAAGATCCAAAACGTGAAAAGTAGAATCATCTAAAAAAGTTTTATAAAACATTTTATAATGTTCATTTTTTCAGAATCTCATCCATTGAATTTGTAGCCAAGAGACAGATTCGCCCGCGGTATTTTTTACTCTTCTTTCTAATGATTTCGTTGAAATAAAATCCGGCTCCGACATTCGCTTTATCGAAAATGTATTGCTTCTTCTGCACTTTTCTATCAATTCATAATAATGCTCAGGATTGTATAAGTTATTTGTTTTTTTATTTACATTTCTATCAACCCAAAATCACGATCATTCGATAGAAAGGAATGACCTGATACCATAAATTTCAAGATCTTTATATAATTTCTTTAAATTTTTGACTTAGACCACTTTCATAATTAACACTAAATGAATTCCATATAATGTTGAAATTACAACCACCATCTAATGGTTCATTTTTGACAATTTCGTAAAAATTACACTGAATACATTTAGTTTAAAAACTAATGTGGTATGAAATAACTGAAAAACTCATTTTTTTTAAATTTTGACTTAGACCACTTTCATAATTATGGGGATATATATATATATATATATATATATATATATTTATTTATATTACCTCCTGCATTAGTTTCTCTAAATTTCCATTACACTGATTATAAAAGTACAAAACTAATTCTAAACCTCCATTAGGGAATAGTCCATGTACGATATTCGGCATCCCCATAGATTCAGCTCCAAAACCAATTGTTTGATAAGTCCAACCATGTTCTATTATTTAAAAATATAATTTATATAAAACATTTGAGTTTTTTCTTGAACTTTATTTATAATAGCTTATTACAAAATATTACTTACTAACAACAAATGGTAAAGAAGCTTCTAAAATTTTTTGTTTAATGTTTTTTGTATTGTTTTCATTTTCTGAAGAATTTACTGCATTCAAATTTGATGTCATACATCGCAAAAGAAGTTTTCCATGAAAATATTTTATATAATCTAAAAAAAAGAATAAAGTAAAGGAAAGGAAAATATGTATGTATAAAAAGATTTAAAAAATATCAACAATATATATTTAATAATTAACATAAATTTATTTAATTTTGTGTTTTTGATCTTCGGTGATACTTTCTTCTAAATATATCATTAGACTTTCCATAACATGAAATGCATTCAAAGATGAATGCACGGCTGCAATTTTATCAGAAATTGGTGACTCTGATAATTTTTCATTGCCAATCAAAACCTCAAACTCAACATCATCCTTGGTCACTTTCTTCTCATCATTCAATTCTTTTAGCTTAATTTCATAATGTGCTTTTGACATTTTCAAACCTTCACGCAAGGGATTCAAAAACGTTTCTTGGATAACTGCAATATGATTCCAAATTTCTGTCTGGTTACACTTGTCTCTCAATATCAAAAATCGTAATGTATTCAAAGCTGCTATTATTTGATCAGCTAAATCTAGTAAATCTGTGGCTGCACCTGAAGGCAATGTGATAAAGATTTTCAAAATGCTCAGTAATTTTTTGCCTTTTAGATATATTGGAAATGTTTGTTTACTATCAAAGACATCTCGCAGCATATCTTTGTATATTGTACAAATGTAGCCTTTCAAACCTGAATGAGATATCTGTGGCAAAAAATTCTGGAGCAAAAGATATTGACCTTTGGTATCAAATTTTAAAATACCATTTGAAATATTTGCTAATGCCGATTTTCTAATGTTTTCTAAACCATTGTATACTACAACCTGTGACAGTGATATAAAATACTGATTGTAAACATTGCCTTCTAATTCTTGATCACTTATTGACGTAACCAAGTTAAGAACATGTTGACTTAAATGCAAGCCTTTAGTAATAAGAAATTGATCGTCATGTTTTATCAAAGCGCTAGATAAAAAAATCATGTTTCTGACAATATAATTTGTGCTGTACACATAAAAGCCTTCAAATTGATTACTCTCAATGAATAGTAAATAATAAACAACAGCTAAAAAAGCTGTATCACAAACAAAATCATTTAATATTGAATAAATATCTCCAAGAAGTATTTTTAGAAGATTCAAAAGATCATTAACAAGTTTTTTATATCCTGATGTAGGTAAATTATTAGTATTCAAACGCCCTATAGGTTTGCCTATTAACTTTACCATAAACTCCACCAAATAATTCTTTTTCTTTTTATTTTCTATCAATGCAGAATCTTTGGGCATGTCTTCAAATACTTTTAAACAAAAATCTGTAAAAGCTTCACATAATTTAAATAATCTCAGGTCAGTATCTTCGTCTGTATCATCTTTTGTGTCATATATATTTTCTATATACAAATACATAGCGTTAATGGTCCATGCTAAAGTATTCAAACGATTTTTTGGTACAAGTTTCCAACATATTCTATGAGCTGGTAGGATCGAAAGGAATGTCATATCATCTTTGCATGTCTCGAATAAGTTTATTAATTCATGAAGCACATCATAAGGGTTTGATTTGAGAGCTACTGTATTGAGTAGGTCTTTGCATAATTCATATAATTCAGGATTTGTTAGCTGCGTGGATTCTGTAAGGTATTCACTTATAACAGGAAATAAATCTGAGCAATTTTCTTTTAGTATCTCACTGTACTTGTTGTCATTGATTACTTGCAGAGCCAAATCCAAATGGTTTTCTTTTAAATATGTTTTGAGCAAGGTACTTAATTGGGAATCGAGTTGTGGAGGAATTTCCATTTTTTCTAGTTTTCTAACCTAACAAATGCTTTTAGTTCAATGCACAATAAATATAAATATTTATTAGATATAGAATATTTTTATTATACTATTAATTAAACTAAATGATTCACTTCTTACTTTTATTGAATAATTGCAATTTGTTCATCGCCTTAGCTGAATATGACATTTGAGAAATCTGTGTAGCACAACAACAAGGTGCAATATTTTGCAATATTTGTTATATTAATTTGAAATTGTTTTAATAACATTGAACGTATCGAAAAACAACTATATTGCGCACTTTATTTCAGATACATTCATATTAAGACTACGATAAGAATTGCATAAAATTATTGTTTTGACTCATTAAGAACTGTCAATTTAAGCGTTAATGGCGGCGAAATGAGGTAACGAATGAGGAATTTGAAATCGACACTTTTCATATTAAAAGGATTGGGCTACATGATAATAAAACAAACTTTATCAGAAAATTGATAAGGGGCTTAGTTCTCAGATTGAAAATAAAATGAATTCGGTAAAGACCTAGCTTAGAAAAAATGCATATAACCCCAAATTTTTACAATCTTAATTTTGACTGAATTTTTGAAAAATCTTAATCTTGTATAAAAAATTATGTATATTAAAATGTTACATCACGGGTTGTTCAACTCTAACAATTATTCTTTAATTGAATATTGAAATCAATTTACTTATTTTTCTATAATGAGAATTGAAGAATAACCGATTTCAACCATCCTGCCACAATTCACAATTGCCTGGTCAATAACTGGTTAATTATCAAATTTTTGTAGACGTAGAATTTCTATTCATATAAACTTAATAATTTTTATAATATAGGATTAAAATTTTTATTGGAAATCAGTTACCCCTAACACTATTAAAATTTTTCATTAGATCAATTTATTCTGACAAAGATCACTTTTTTGTTCATAATAATTATATGTAACAAAACAGTATTTTCGAATAAATCTTTAATTGAATTAATTAATTCAACAACGTGTTGTGTATGTATATATATATATATATATATATATATATATATATATGTTTGTCTTTTATATTACCTTAATAATCCATTTACTATAAATCATAAGTTTTATTCATCATTTATTTAAATTCCAACAGAATTATTTCTAATGCTTGTCATTCGAAGTACAAAGTGAGATATATAAATGTTTGATGCCATCTAAAAAGTGTACGTAAAATGCCTACATATATTTACAAGTATTGATGATTATTTGACTAATCCTAATTTCTTAGCCTCAACTTCATAAATTAAAAGTCTCCACATTTTAACAACAAATACTTCTGCTTCTTCGTCCAAAACCTGTAATATAAAATACACATTAGATAAATTGATAGTAAAACATATTAGATTATGATTATAATTTTTGTACCATTTGAACATCATCTATTATCCCTTGGGGGCTGCTGCCCGCTAAAACCTTTGAGCAAATAAAATCAACCAAAGTAGGCTCTGGTTCACCGATATATTCAATAATCTTTTTATTAATCCATGGTCGTATCTTCTTTTCCATAAGGCCATTATCTATAACAGCCCAATCTAGTGGGAAGCTGAACAAGGCATTCTTTTCTGTCGGTATTTTGTCTATTAATAGTTTTATGTGCCGTCGCTTTTCTTCTTGAGACTTGGCGGATTCTTCAGATATTTTAGCTTTATCTTTTGAAGAATGATTTGTGCTACTGGTATCACTAGGCTTACCCTTGTTGTCATCGTAATCTAAAGGTATTAGTTTGCGTTTTTTAACAAGCCCATTAGAATCTTCATCATCATCTGCATTGTTAAAGACATCGCTGACTTCCAAACTTCTTTTTCTTGTTATTAGTGGTGATAGTTGTTATTTTCAATGTAGGGCTTGATAGTTGTGTGCTGGAATGTTGTGAAGATTCTTCCTCTGCGGGATCAGGCATACGATGATCGGCTGAATCGCGGGAATCTGAATTCATATCCTCGTCCGGAGGAGGCGGATCTGGTGACGCAAAGTGACCATCGTCACTTGAATCAGATTCTATGGGTTCAGCATCCACGGCTGCTAATTCTCGGCTTGCTTGGGCAACCACATAGCGCTCCTTCTGCAGCCTTTCACGCTCACGAGCCTTTTGTCGTTCTAGTTCACGTTCCCTCTCACGCTCGAGCTCCCTTTCACGTTGTTGAGATTGTTCCAGATTGACATCGATCAGTATTTTCGGCTTATACAGCTCGTCACGTTCTTTTTTAAGCTGCAAGATAATAGTAATAGTAAAGTTTAACTCAACAGCCTTTTCCAACCTATATTTATAATTACCCTTTCAAATTCTTGATTAGGATCATCGTGTGTGCCGCTCGCGAATACTTTATTACGAAGTTCTTCCAGCTCCTGAATTTCTTTCTGGCGATCTTTAAGATCCATGTCGGCCTCGCGAACTCTTTCTCCAATCCGTCTCTGAAGTTCTCTGCCTCTGTGGGATGAAAATCATATTAGTAAAAATTATTTTGTACAAATTTATGTATTCAAAACTATACTTGTAATATTTTGAGTCATCTTTTTCGTCGTCGTAATCCTCTAAAAATTCCTTCAACTTTTTGGCTTCTTTTTCCCGCTCTTCTTCTCTGCATCTTTCTTTCTCTTTTTCCTAAGGAAAATCATTGGAGAACATAAATTAATTAATTAATTATATTTCAAAGAACAAAATTAGGCCGAACAGGATAAAATCAGTTTTCCTTATCGGTGTATATATTTATTTATTTTAAATATATAACCCACAGATTTCTTTCAAGAGGACACAAAAATACAATTATTTTACATAAATAATAGCAATTAAAATATATACAAAATTACAATATATAGTTATTAACATAAAATGCTTAACATAAAATTACATATAATGCAGAATATAACAATAAGATAAAATAATGAGATATTTAAAAAGAATATAAAAAGGTTAACTTGTTAAGGCAGATGGAGATTATTTGATTAGGTGAAGTGTTGTGAATATCTATTTCATTATTAATTAAGTTAAAGTTAGAGCACACATGTAAAATAGGCGAATTTAAGAGAGAATTAGATTTAGGAGAAGGATAATTGAAAAATAATCGTGAACATTAAAGGATAGTTGATTAAGAATAAGAGGACAGTCTATAGAATTATTGCAAAGTTTAAATAAGAACATAATTGTACAGATAAATCGACGTGAGGCAAGGGAAAGAATACCAAATTCTTTTAATAAAGTGTTGTGGTCAAAGCCACGTTCAGGGTAAATTTTATATGTTTTATAATAAAGATATTTCAGAAATTTTCGCTGATTCTTCTCTATCGCATCAGAATTGTTGATTTGATGAGGATACCAAATAATCGAACCAACGTACAATAGAATAGTACATGCAAAAAAGTGCATTGCTAGAAATGAATTGTTTACAATTTTTCAGTATCAAACCTAAAGATTTAGGTGCTCTATTACAAATATCAGTTATATGATCCTTGAAAAACAAACCGGAATCAAATAAAACTCCCAAATCTGAAATTTTATTACATCTATCAATGCTGGTGTTAGAAATTTTATAATCAAAATGTATTGGAACGCGCTTATGTGAAAAACTAAGAATCTTGCACTTTGATATATTTGAATGTAATTTGCTATAGATACACCAAGAGTGGAGAGACTGTAATGATAAGCAGTCATCAATAGAATTTATTTTGAGATATAGTTTGAGATAAACTGCAAATAATAAATGTGGACAGCTAATAATTTCAGATGTCATTAATAAAAATAATAAATGGTAGTGCACCAAGAATGGATCCCTGAGGAACACCTGAACTGATATTTTCAATATTGCTCAAGAATCCATTAAGATAGACAAACTGTTTACGATTATTAAGAAATTAAAAAAAAAAAAGTAAAGAATTAAGAACTAAGACAATCTTAGATAATTTAGTAAGAAGAATGTTATGATCAATTTTGTCAAAAGCTTTACTGAAGTCAGTGTAAATAACATCAACTTGTCCATTAGTATCAAGATTCTCAGCTATATATTGTTTAATACAGATTGAATTTGTTATCGTAGAACGGGCAGGCATGAATCCATGTTGATTAGTAGAATTTAAAGTTCTAACAGAAGGAATTAGTTCTCTATAAATAATTTTTTCAAATACCTAAGCAAAGTTTGATAATAATGATATCGGTCTGTAATTAGTAATATTGGACGTATCACCTTGTTTAAAAGTTGGAACTAATCGTGCAATTTTCCAACAATTTAGAAAAGTGTTTGTACGCAATGATAGATGAAATTAAAATGCAAGTGGATCAGATAGAGCAGATGAGCAATCACGTGTAAAGAAAGATGGAACACCATCGAAACCAAATATTTTGGTTTAAAACTTGCTATTGCAAGTTGCACAGTACTAGAATCAATTACATCTATATCTATCATGATTGTATCATTATGATCAAATAAAATGGGTATGTCAAGTTTAGGCAGATAAACACTAATAAAGTAAGAATTAAATGCATCAACAATAGCATCAGGAGAATCATAATATTTGTCTAGATAGCACAATCTATTGGGAATAATATTAAAAGCAGTCTTATTACGCAAAAATGAATAATATATATAAATTATATATTATTTTATATATTTAATGTAATAAATTATGATTAAAAACCTTATCATGATCCTTAGCCTTGCGTCTTTCTCTGGTTTCCCAAGCTCGCAGTCTTTCCTGATAAGCTGCCTCTTTCTTTCGTGCCTTTTTATCAGCTTCTTTCTTTTCTCGAGCTTCCTCCTCCATTTCTTTTTCACGTGCCAATTCAGCTGCAGTTTTGGGCGGTGCTTTTTTCACTTCTTCACGTTCCCTGAAGATAATTAGACCATTTTATTAAGATTAATTTGATAAAATGTAAGAAAAAAAAATTAGGGCTTTCTATTACCTTTCTCGTTCTCTCTCTCGCTCTCTTTCCCTTTCTCGTTCTCTTTCTTTTTCACGTTCTCTCTCTCTTTCGCGTTCTCTTTCTCTTTCACGTTCACGCTCTCTCTCGCGCTCTCTTTCTCTTTCGCGTTCGCGCTCCCTTTCTCGCTCTCTTTCTCTATCCCTTTCCCGATCTCTAGATCTAAAATAAAAAAAATATAAATAAAATAATCAATTTCAAATTAGGTGTTTGCTGGAATAACAAATTCGAACCTAGATTTAGACCTCCTGCGTTTGCTACGTTCCTCTTTACTGCTCTTGCTTCTGGCAGGACTAGAACTACCCTTACGTTTATCTTTCTCTCTTTCTCCTTTTTCCCTTTCTCTATCCCTTTCATCTTTTTTGCGCCGAGAAACTTCTTTTTCTTTTTGTTCTTCTTGCTTTTTCATGATTTCACGAAATTTACCAATTTCTCTTGTGATCAGATCTCTTTTGCCCTCTTCAATATCAGCTTCCTGTAGAATCTTATTTCGCTTTTCAATTTGTTCTTCTGCAAAAAGAAATACTGTCTGGATTAGGGAATGCAATACCGGTTTACCAGTAAGCCGAATTACCAGTAAACCGCCCGATTTTTCGGCGGTATTTTTACCGGTAATTACCCCAAAAATACATAATACACTAAAGTTTTAATTTCTCGGAGCAAATTTATCTTTAAATTCCATAATCGCATAAACAGCTATATCTTCAAGTGATTCTATAGGATAAACAAATGTCAAATATTATCTCAACTCGTCATTAAATTGAATACTTATTGCTTTACATATCGTGTTACAATAAATAGAATTGGACTGATAGATAATGATGTTTGTTTCATCTTATATAAAAATGTAATGGTTTTTTTAAGTGATATGTGCGTCAAAATATTTTATATCATACAGATTACCCCTGCGTAATCTTTATTTTTTTCTTACTTTATACATAATAATTATGATAGTTACTAAATATTTTTGCTTCTTATTACAATTATAAAATATTATTTTGCGAACACTTTTTGAAGTTTGAAAATACTATAGAAGCATCACATTGTTTTAAATAACAATACTCAACAGTTATAGTAACTTATTATTTATCCCGACAAAGTATCCGATCTTAAATTAATATAGAAAAATTATTTTTTTAAAATATTAGAGATAATGCTAATGTAACACATCGGAAACAGACAATACAGTTTATTATAATATTGTAATTTAATCTTTTATGAGTTTTTGGTCTTTCTTACTCATAAGTTTATTTTTGGTGAAAAGTACTCAATATACTCGATAGTGATAATGAATTAATTAAATTGGATATAATTCTGTTAAATTATTATTTAAAAAAATAAACTTATTGTTTTTATTGTTTAGTTGAATATAGTTGTAGTTGTATATACATTTTTTTATATTTGTACTAGTAACTTTCAATTTTGTTTACGTTTGTTTAAGATAATAAAAATACCGGTAATTTACTGTTATTCCGGTTTTAAAATGAAAAATTACCAAAATACCGGTATTGAAATTTTTCATCGGTATTGCATTCCCTAGTCTGCACTATGTGCACAAAATCTAAAGTGAATTTAAAACCTATGTTAAAGGTCATACCTTCCTTGATAGCATCGAAATTATTAATATCATTTTCATATTCAGAAATTGTTGCTTTGATTTTTATCATAGCAGTTTTATCTGAATCACGAGCGTTGTCATTCATATATTCTGAATCACACTCAACTTCATCTTGGGTTGGAGATGAATCATCTGGTTTCAATTTCTTTCTTTCTTCAGCTGAAAAAAATTAGATTATTATAAATTTTTTTATATATGTATATATATATATATATATATATATATATATATATATATACTAGCTGACCCGCCAAACGTTGTTTTGCTAAGTAAGGTATTTCTAAGCAATTTCCAGAGAATAAAAAAAAGAATACTTTATTTTAGGAGTGTAGGGTGTGTTGTTTGAATGGTACAGACAATGAGATATTATAAACACAATAAACCCTAAAGTCTACTTGTATAATAATGAATTATATAATTCATAATAACAATATTCATTTGTCCATACTCTGTTATTACAATCAAACTGGAAGTTTTATACATACAAAAATATGGTATAATTCAATCAAAGTCTTTACAATATAAGGAAAAGTTTTAGAATTAAAAATATAACAATTTGAAAATTTAATTAAAAGAAATTAAATTATATATATATATATATATATATATATACATATATAAATGTATTTACCTTTATATTCATCTAATACTATTTTAGTTTTTGCATCAACTTTAGCAACCAGTTTTTTCCCTCCAATCTCTAAATCATGTAGCAAACGTACTGCTCTTAAACCAGCTTCTGGACAACTGGAATGAATTTCGTAATTTAATAACCTAGACATTTTTGTCTTATTAATAAATCATTACAATACACACCTAAATTCACAAAATCCAAATGCAGAAACCCGTTTCCAAGAAACAACTGGACCACAAGCTGAAAGAATCTGCCTGATCATGGTATCAGGAGCCTTTTCTGTTATATTGCCTTTGAAAAAAAAAAATTGATGTAAATATACTATTTTAGCAAATATAAATGTAATTAAGTAGTCAATATTAATTTTTTTTATTAATAATTGGATAATTATTAATAAATTACCTAGGTGTAAGTTGAATTACACAATGAACTTAATAAATAAGAAATGAGGTTTAGATTTCTTTTACTACTGACCAACAAAGACGGTGACTGCTGGTCCATCGCTTGTACCAGTCGGTGCAGGTGCCTGTGCAGGTTGAGGAGGTGCTGATATTTGTGGAGGCGGTTTGTTGAAAGGCGGTCTCATAGGTGGAGGTCCCGGTGGACAAAATGGCCTCATTGGCATACCTCCGGGCATTACCTATAAGAGAAATTGATGTCTGTGACTAGGAAAAGATTTAATTAAAAAAAAATTGATTACAGATATGTAATATTATTTTGCTTACAGGTTATATGCATGTTATTAGTTATACATAAAGCCATACTTAAATCGACAAGAATTTAAACTTTAAATATTGTAAAAATAATGTTACATTGCTAAGTTTTGTATATTAGATACAGATTTTGCAACATCTTATTATATGCTTTCATAAATATATTTCTTTTTGCAATTGCCTAATAAACTATATGATTAATACTTTGTATTAATGAAATATATTTATGAGACAACAGACTTGGAACTAAACAGAAACTATTCTAACTACACAAAAGTTGATTCCAGATATTATAAAATGTATATATTTATTATATTTACATGAGGTGGCATCTGCATGACCGGCATGGGTGGCATCATATTTGGGGGCATATATGCCATATTCGGCCCCATTGGGGGGCGCCCCGTAAATGACATTTCAAATTTTAGGTTAACTTAGAAAATAACATTTACGTGCACATTTTAGTGTTTTTATTGAAGTCTCATCGACTTCCACAGATTAAAACACACTAATAACACCTTACTGATTTGTTGCAACTTTATTATATCTATTAAATCGATGTTTAGGGTTAAGACAAAGTACGTTGCAGATCAAGTTTTTTATATTTATATGTATTTACTGATAACATTGTTTGGAAAGAGCTTTAAAAACTGTTCGTATGACACTTTAGTGGAAATGGTATGTGAAATAAATTTGAATCAATTATTAGTAAAAATCAATTTTGGTTAAATTGAAGTAAAATTCGCTTCTTTTGACGAAACGTTGAACTAAGCCAAGTCATAGAATATCAATACGAATTATGTATAGATGGTATACATGGGCAGTTGACAGTTTTGAAACGACTTTGGAATTTAAACATTCTAAAACTGTTTATTTATAACCAGATTTTTCTAATTTATATATATATATATATATATATATATATATATATATGCATCTCCTTAAATGTGCTGAATTAAACAACACTTAAAGTCTGAAAAATCAAATTGAATTTCCTATAAGTAAAAAACTTCTCAACAATTACAGCATGTTACTTTATAATTCTTATATAAAAAATCTCAACAGAATGCATACATAGAATCAATACTAATATAACAAATTAAGCTTGATGTGAAATGATTGATTTAAATACTTCAGATGATTTAAAAGTGCGCAGTAGGATCCAAAATCAGCTCCAAAAATAACTTAAATCTAGAATCTAACAGTGTCCACGGTCAGGAACACGTTTCCTTGGTGCAGCCTTCATAATATTGTCAACTCTCAGAATCATCTCTGCAGCTTCAGCAGCTGATAGCAAAACTTGACGTTTTACAACATAGGATTCTGTGATGCCTAATGCCTTCATGCAGCCTAATTTACCCAAGTCCATATCTGTAAATCAAGATTTATATTAAATTTACAATCATATATACACATTTATATATAACATGTATTAATTACTTACTCAATCCAGTGGAGGAATCTCCTTGGCAATGGGCTGCTCTTAATTCAGACACTAATTGTGCACTATCATATCCTGCATTATCAGCAATTGTCGTGGGGAGTTGCTGCAAAGCTCTTGCAAAAGCCTCCATTGCAACAGCTTCTTTACCAGGAGTCCGAGCTGCAGCTTGCATAACAGCACAGGCCATCAGCATCTCGCTACAACCTATAAAATAATAAATATATAAACATAATGAATCCAAAGACACAAAAAGTATCTTTAATCCTCTTACCTCCTCCATAAACTGTCCTGGATTCTTTGACAGTAGCAGCAAGCACACACAAAGCATCGTGAAGAGATCTTTCAGCTTCATCAATGATTTGCTGAGTAGCACCACGAATAACTACAGTACAAGCTTCTCCCAATGGAACACCACTGAACCGGAGTAAACTGTCTTCACCAATCATAACCTGAAAAATAATTACAAATTGAAAATGGATCATTAAATTATTATATGAATTCTTATTCCTTTATACCTGTTCAATAAGTTTGCATGTACCCAATTTAACAAGCCCAGGCTGGTCAAAAGTAGATACAATTTCACCACCGGTAACAAGAGCCAATCTTTCAATGCCATCAAAATCAGCATGCTCAATAGCCATAACTCCGGCATCAGCAAACAATTGCTCAGGATAATTGTAGATCAATTGTCTATTGATGAACACATTTGCATTATGTTTAAGAATCTTCTCCACTTTGTTTTTCATTTTTTCCTTTTCTGCCATTTCCAAATCTGCAATCTTGGCCATTGAATCTACTTTAATTGCAGACCCGAATACTTTTATTTTATCTGTGTCCATAGGAGTATTGGCAATGAGGATTTTTGCATTTTCAATGCGTTTGGGTTGATGTTGACCCACCTAAAATAATAAAAAAAATATTATAAAGTCAACAGAATTTTTTTTTAATACAAATACAAACCTTTTTGTCCAACAAAAATCCTTCATCTAAAAATGAGTCTTCTAAACAACCTCCCTTTTTCTTAATTATTTGAATAGCAGCTAAATCACCAGAGCCTTTAAGACGTAATATTGCATCTACAGCCAGTTTTGAAAAGTACCTAAAAATATCATGCATCATCAATAACATTACATTCATTTATTACCATCATTTATTTCTAAATAATTACTCCTTATGCTGGCACAAGATCTTTGAGCTCAAAGTTGTGCGGGCAATATTTAACAGATCTTCTTTGAACAAAGCTTCATTTGTAGAATTATCTGAAGCAGCATCTTCTAAAGCTTTGCGGGCTACTTCTACAGCACTACGCCATCCAGAGATGATAATTTGGGGATGAATTTTCTGTTCAATGAGTTTTTCAGCTTCACGAAGCAGTTCAGATGCTAAAAATAAAAATATGATAATACGGCAATCCAAAATAATATATTTTATGTTATGTATTACCAAGTACTGTAACTGAGGTAGTGCCATCACCCACTTCATTATCTTGTACCCTAGACATATCAACTAAGATTTTGGCGGCAGGATTATCAACTCCTACAGCTTTAAGAATAGTGGCCCCATCATTAGTGACTTCAACCTAAATATAAATGAAATATGATTGATATCTATGTACATTTATTATTTGAACTATAACTACTATATAACTTACTTGTCCTGAATTCCTTCCATGAGCAACTAGTATTTTATCCATACCCTTAGGTCCCAAGGTACTCTTAACCAAGTCACCGATTGCAATTGCTCCAATAAAACTGGATAAGCGAGCAATTTCTGCTTTTTCTTCAGCAGCCTCATTTTTCAAGATTCTCACAGGATTAAGGGATACCTAAGATATAATACTCATTGTCACTCGTTTTGCACAACATTTTGGTTAGGATAAATTGTGAACACAAAAACTGTCGGTGTGACATTAATTAGTGTATTATAGTATCGGTTTCACTTGACAAAGCTTGAAAAATGTGTTCAATGTAAACAATTTATTGTAATAATCTGTAAATTACGCAAAAACTCGACATGTGCAAGATCTATCATGCGATTTTTTGGGAGGTTGCTGTCTTCCAGAATGATCTAAATATATTTTAGTATCACATGGTTATGTGCACCGCGAAACATATTATTGAAAGTTTTATTGGTTTCACTAAAATACTGTAAATAAACTTACCATTTTGCTTTCTAAATTGATATTCTAGAACATTTAATTGAAACAAAATGCTTTTCTACACCGCACTCGTGAATACAACAAGATGAAGTAAGTTGGTTTATAAATTTTCAGTGCAGCCAACGTTGATTAACTCTGGAAAAAATTGCGCAAAGGTCATTGGTTAAATATTCAAACTGGATAAAATAAAAGTTTAAAACATTTGTATTTGAATATATACCAAATTTATACAAAATAAATTTTTAATACAAATATATTTAATATAATAAATCAATTATTTATGGAATAAAAGACGTTTAAATCATTCTTTTTATAATTTTTGGTTTCCTGCTCTTATCCCACCTATCTTATTTTCTCTACGATTCTCCTTAAATGTCATTTGTCATAATTGAACACGCCTTGTTATCATAAAATGTCAAAATAATGACAAAATTATCAAAAATAAGATAATATCAAATGTAAATATATAATATAAAATTTTATACAAACTACTTAAGATAAGAAATATAGTGTGATGTAGAATGATATTAAAGATGGATACTGGATATTCAAATGATGATTCTGAAACTTGGGAGGATTTCTTTGGTAATTTTTTGTAAATATTTAATTTCCCAGATAAACATTGATTAATTGTTTTAAAATAGTAAGATTGCCCTAGGATCGTAAAAAGCAACGAAAAAGATCTTAGCAGCTGGTAAATGAGAGTAAGTCCTTCAGATAAAAGCCCTTCACCTTGTGCTTGATTTGGTTGCTGCTTTAGTTATGTGTTGCTTTTAATTAATTAGTTCTCGTTGTGTTTTTGGTTGATACGTTTTACTTATTATGTTTTATTTATTATATACCTGTCAAATAAATGCATTGTATTTATTGTCATATACACATACATATTTAAATATAAAAATACTAATTAAATTTTATTAAAATAGGTAGTTCTGTAGAAATAAAAGGATCCATATTAAAATTGTGCAACATACCTACACCTGCAAGAAAACCATTCAAGAATCTTAATGTTTTATCACCAAATGTTCAAAGAATTTTGGCACACTCCGATTGCATATCAGACCCAGTAAATCAATATTTACTTACATTATACATATTAAATATATTATATGTTAATTATCACTTACTTACAGCCATCACCGACAGAAAATCAATCACAATTTATGATAAAAAGTAAGTTACCTGTAAGAAAAGCTAAAAGTCATCACAACTTTCCTTTGTCCGGTGTTGTAAGTAAAATATCACAAAGCAGTAATGATTTACAAATACACACAGAATCACATACAGATAATTTAGAAGATACAACTAGTGGTAATATAACTTACACATATATTGTATTACATGTAATAATTTTTCTTAACCTGTAATTTTTTCTGATTTTGTAGTTAAAAGTCATTTATTTACATTACATCAAAATATGGCTGACAATGATATGGAAAGCATTTCTGAGACAACATCAGTAGCTGATATCAGTTTAACATCGACAATATCAGATTGTAGTAACAGTCAGAACAATTCACCCATTTGCAGGTACATCAAAATTTATTTATACATAAATAAAACAATTAGTTGAGTTTATAAGGTATTTATTTTTCAGACAAGAGTCAAATCCAACAGGCTTACGCTTTGTTAGACCTTTATCAACTTGTTCTACTGATTCAAGCAGTAGTAGTACTAGTACAAACAATAATCGAGGCGGTTCACAATATTTGGCTTCTATAGAAAGTTTAGCTGATCACAGTGATCAAGATCGAATGTGTAATAATAAATAAATATATATAAATAAATTGTAGAAATTAATGAGCATAAATTTAATTGCAGATGAAAATCGATCAACTCTTTCTGTTGGTGAAAGAGTTTGTTTAGAAGTTATTAATACAGAAGAAACTTATGTAGGTGATCTGAAGCAAGTTATTGAGGTAATAATATTTATATTTGTATATATATATATATATATATATATATATAATTAATTAATTTTTATAATTTTAGGGCTATTTGAATTCATGGAAAGAACAGTCATTATTAGATACTGAAAAGTTAGATACTTTATTTTGTAACATACTTGAAATATATAAATTCAACAGGTATGTACAAATATTAATTAAAACTCCATAATAAAATTTTAATATATGTAATTTTTTTGCAGTGACTTGTTATTGAAATTAAAAATGACTGAAAACGATCCTGTTAAAATAGCAAAATGTTTTATAGATAGCAATGATGGTTTTGAAGTATATACCAAATACTGGTAAGATAATACATGATAAATATTATATGATATGAAATGCAATATATTTTTTATTTTCAGCACAAATTATCCGCAAGCCATAGCGTTATTAACAGAGTTACTCCAATCTATGGATACTGCAAGTTTACTAAGAAATACCCAAAGTTCTTTAGGTCACAATTTGCCTTTGGGATCTTTTTTGTTAAAACCTGTGCAAAGGATTATGAAATATCACTTACTTTTGCAGGTAAACTATAAGAATTTCAAATTTTATCACAGGACTTTTATATAAATATTTTATTTTTCAGAATTTGTACAAACATTATGAAAATAATCACATAGAAAAGGCTTCTAAACTTATGACTGATGTTGCACATCACATTGATGAAGTTAAAAGGCATTTAGAACAACAATCACGAGTTCAAGTGAGTGAAAAATTACAAATAATAAAATCAAAATATAAATTTATTGACCACTGTATTTTTTTTAAGGAGTTAGAAGGTAGTTTAGACGGCTGGCTGGGACCAAGTCTGACTGTTTTGGGCGAATTATGTCTTGAAGGCACTTTGCAAGAACGAAATCACAAGAGTCGGCAAGTGTTTTTATTTGAAAAGATGTTACTTATCACTAAACGTAAAGAGGATGGTAGATTAGCATACAAAAGTCATATCATGGTGAGTACACAAATATTCACATGATATATATATATATATATATATATATATATAATTTTATGTTTATAAATATATTATTTTTAGTGTTCTAATCTGATGTTAGTAGAAGTAATTCAAGGTGAACCGACAAGTTTTCATGTGATACCATACGATAATCCAAGGAACCAAATCACTTTACAAGTATGTATGATGTTAATTAACTTTCCATAGGGTAGTTATACTAATGGGCCGAAAATAAAAAATGAAAATGTTTGCATATCTCGACGTTTTGAAGGTTTCTTAACATTTTGGCATACTTCAGAAAAAATGGATGTGTGTGCGTGTGTGTGTTTTGTATGCCGCATTTTTCGTCCACGTTTTCGGGCACACGGATCAACCGATTCAAATGGTTTAAAAAACATTCGATCCCTATTGATAAGGAGATGTGCTAATTAGTTTTTGGCAAAGGCAGATTTAGCGGTTACGGAGATATGGAGCAAAGAATGCAGAAAATAGAAACCGTGTTTTGAAAGAACGGATCATCCGATTTGTATGATCCAAAAAACATTCAGTTCGTAATGACGGGGAAAAGTGGTTATTAGTTTTTGGTAAACGTAGGCCCAGCGGTTTCGGAGATACAACCCTAAATAGCAGTTTTTGAGAGAACTAAGCGTCCGATTTAAATGATTGAAAGAACTTTCTGCTTGTATCAACAAAATAATTGCTTTTGGAAAAAAACTGTTTCTAATTTTTTTTTTTCAAAAAATATTTTTGTAATTTTGGATCAAAAATTCAAAAAATTACACTGACTAAGTACAGTCTAAGCGCCACTCTGGTGCAAATGTTTACCCAAGTGCGTTTAGACTGTTTATGTATTGGAGCAATTTTCCAATTTTGTGAAAACTGTTGAAAAATGTGAAAATGCCGTCAATCTAAGCACAGTATGAGTGAAAATGTCGCACAGAATTATTTGCAAATGCGTTTAGACTGTGGCTATATGGGAGCACTTTTTCAATTTTGTTGGCAACTATTTTTTTTTGAAATTGAATTCGAAATGAAATGACGATTGTTAATGTTCTGGAGATAAATTGATTTATGATTTATGATTTACATTTGATTTGCTCACATATAACAAGAAAATGCAAAAATAATGAAAGTTACAGTATTTGTAATAATATATTTGAAAACGTTTAAAATTTCTCGAATATTTCATTACGGTACGGGAAGTTCCAGCAATTTGCATTAAGGCACGATGCCATACACTACTAGTTCATAATTAAACTAGTGGCAAATTTCCTTGCAATTTTCATTTTCGATTTGTTTGCAATTACTATAACTAAACCTACGGCTTAAATAAATATATCAATTACCCTTTTTGTAGGCACGTTCGGTACAACAAAAGAAACAATGGGGCCTACAATTAAAACGCTTGATGTTGGAACAATTTAATGGGAAGATTCCCACAAGGGCAAAAGACTTGGTATTGGGTATCGATGCTGAAGAAAGCTTGGGTAAGTGTTTGCTAAAACGTAATTCAAATAATACCTTCGTGTAAATTTAAAATAAAAATTATTACCTTGTTTTAGTTGCTTTGCCCGGTGTCAAACCCGATTCGACTCCTGATTATTTACAAAGAAGACACGAAAGACGCCGTACCGAAATGTCTATGCGTCGTTTGAACAAAAACAGGAAATTTATTATACCGACGAACCTGAGCAACGATCAACCTGTAGCATCACCTGAGGGTAAACCTGGTGAGAAAAGGTACAGTAGTTGGTATTTGGAAGAAGACGGTAGCAAAGATTCTTCTAACATGGATAAAAAGTGTTATTCTAACGAATACGTTAATATGGATTATGAGAGTAAATTGAAACCTGATACTGCACAGAAGCCGGAGGCTGCAAGGTGTAGATCAGAACCAGGTATACCTTCGGAATTTTATGAAACAACAATTACGGATTCTGTTCCTAGGATTCCCAGGCCGCCTATAAAGTCGTTTGAGATCAAACAGTACAACACAAAGACTTTGCCCAAGAAAATAACGAAAATTAAACGTTCGCGGACTAAAAGTATAAAAAGCAATCAAGGTTCTAAGTTTTACACAGACCTTGATGGGGGTACGTGTAATGATCTGCACATCACAGAATCGACCGATGAAAGTCGGAATTCTAAAAATTTAGACGAAGGTAGTTATATAGTGTCTTCCAATGTATATTCTAACAACGACGACGAGGACCACATTTACGAAACCTTAAAAACAAATTGCGATGAGGATGAAAGTGAGTATGTGGTACTCGACGAATTAAAAACGGAGATCGAAAAAAGTAAAAATGATTTCAAACGGGTCACTACAGAATTGCAGGAGTTGTATTTAGAAAAACTGCAACAACCTACTGACGTCGAAGAACCACCTTCAGTTAGTGAAAGAAACTCATTGGTTAAAAATAAAGAAGTAGCAAATAACTCCAAGAGTCTTTTACTACGCATAGGCGAACGCTTCGCAAATTTAGACTACGCCGATCCAACAATATTATTCCAAAAATCAAAAACTACACAAAATTGCGATTCATCTACTCAACTATCTTCTCCTAGTCATGTTGCACAAAGCTGTGCAATAAACAATGATTTTTATGAAAAATCTGTAGAGTACTCGCTAGAAAGCGATTTCTTTCGCGATAGCGCGATTTATAGCGATGATAATAATCCTTATAACAAAACTGATGATGTTGATGCAAAATCTGATTCTTTGAATAGTAATGATTCACCGGTGAATAATAGTGAATCGCCTGTGAATAATAGTGAATCGCCTGTGAATAACGATTGTGATTCGCCGAGTAAAGGTAAGTTTTCGGACGGGTGGGTTAAGCAGGTTGTTGGGAAATTTCAGTAGAGTAAAATGTAATAGTCAGTTGTAAACAGAACGTTTTAAATTTAATTTAAATTAGTTTGTTGATATTGAATATTTTTGATAAATATTTATTTTTGTTCTAGAACTCGTAGATGTTTTAGAAATTTTAATTCAATATACATCTATACCTCATTTTCCACGCTACTCGTTTTACACGTTTTTGATCTTACGCGGCTTCTGAAAATAACTTTTTTTTCAAACTAAGTTTATTAATTTTGCATTTACACGAAATTATAAACACTAAACTATATGTTGCTTATAGTTACAACAGAATTCTCATGGTTTTTCTGTCAAAATACAACACTTCAAAATGTATATTACAGTTACGAATGCTTAATAATCTATGTCTGTGATGGTAATATGTAGATGAGGCGACAAATCTCCGTTTTATGACCTAAACTATTTTTTTGTGTGCATAAGCTAGTTTGAAATATCAAAACAAAAAGCATCATTTGTTTTTAATTTTTGCTTATATAAAATTGATAGCGTAAATTTATTCAATGTGAACAAATAACAGAATCATTTTTTACAAAATATTTAATTTATAATTTTTTTTAATTCTATGAGTCTATGTAGATAACACGGAAAATCCCCGTTTCATGACCAAAACTGACTTTTTTGTGTGCATAAGCTAGTTTGTTTGAAATACCAAAACAAAGAGCATAATTTGTTTTTAATTAGTGTTTATATATAATTGATAGCGTAAATTTATTCAAGATCAACAAATAAAAGAATAATTTTTTACAAAATATTTAATTTATAAAAAAATTTAATTCCATGAGTCTATAATGGCAATATGTAGATAAGACGTGAAATCCCCGTTTCATGACCAAAACTAAATTTTTTGTGTGCAAAAGCTAGTTTGTTTGAAATACCAAAACAAAGAGCATAAATTGTTTTTAATTAGTGTTTATATATAATTGATTGCGCAAATTTATTCAAGGTGAATAACAGAATCATTTTTTATAAAACTTTAAATTATAAAAATAATCATAGTTTGATGAAAACAAATCGAAAAAAACTATCGAGTAAAAGAAATTTTATATCTGTAAAAAACCAATTTTAATTTTTATCTACAGAAAATGCAACACTTAATATTTTTTTTAAATCTGTTTTATATAGATAAATTAATTTTTTTATAATTGATTGAATATTGATATTAATTGTATTAATAATGATTAATACGAATATATCATTATTAAATGGTCTTTTTCATAGTGATTTTCGTTTAGCACGGTTTTTTCATATAAAAGTGAATTTTTCGAGTTTTTTCTGGAACATATACAAAAACACTTGTAAACCGGGGGATAGGTGTAATTTGTTAAAAATTTATTTATATTGAATATTTTTGATAAATATTTATTTTTGTTCTAGAACTCGTAGATGTTGTATGCTTTAAGAATTTTAATTCAATATATTTTTATTACTCTTTAAGTCAGAAATTCACAAAAATAAATTTCTCCATATAAAGATACACACACACACACACACATATATATATATATATATATATATATATATATATATATATACCATTTTTTATGAAGTGTTTTAAAGAATTTTTATCAAATTAAATTATTAGTCATTGTTTTAAATATCAATATATCATAAAAATTATCATGTTATAAACTAGGACTTCTAAATGATGTAATTTTAATAGTAATGAAAATCATCCGACTTATATCAATAAAAACGATTTGTTTTAAATCATAAGTATTAAAAAAAAAATATGAGTAAATTTTATTTAAGATATATCATTGTGAAAAAAATAAATAGTCGTAGACATATCGCGTATTATAGTATATAAAATTATTGTGAACATGGATGGGCAATCTTTAGTTTTTTATATTTATCAAGGACCAATTATTACAAAAAATGATTTTATTTTGAAAAATTATTATACGTTTTTTACATACTAATTATTTAATTGTTCATTAAACAAAGATTGTCCAAACTTGCAAAACTAAATAAATTTAGATAGTTAAATAAATAATCTTACGACTAGTTCATATCAAATTCATAGATGCCTAGCCATGTATTTCTAAAAAACCGACCGTACTGAATTTTTTTATTAGATTGTAATTTAGGTAAGGATTTATATATATATATATATATATATATATATATATAAAGTTTGATGAAAAGGCTGTTCTTTTTATATATGTGTACTAATTATAATCGAACATCATAAAGTATATTTTACTACATTATAGTAATTGCAAAAAAATTTAAATGACTATGTTTAGATATCTTTGTTTCAGTATGAATGTGTGTGTATGGGTATGTATGTGCGGATACAATATTTCATCGAGAGCACATGTAAAATTTTATAAATATTTGATATATTTATGTTGTTAATTATAGAGCATCTCTAATATAATGTTAATATTACACAAATTGTGAATTTATTATGATTATGATGAAACAAATTTAGGTAAAATTCACGGACTCTTTTTTTTTCAATTTAATTTTTTTTAAATTAATAAATATATTTATCCCAGTTAATTATCTACTTAGTTATAAAAGTCAATAGTATTTTATTAAATTAATTTTATTTTAGTTTTTATTCTCAAGGTGCTATGAGTACTTTATGATGTTTGAATACAAAAATACGTGTCAATATTTTTAGAGTTAATAAATAAATTATATAGTTAATTAATTATTAAAATTTTTATAGTTAATTAATTATATATGTGATCATACTGCCAATGTCTGTTTTCGTATAATATAATAATACTTTTTAATAAATGTTTTCATATGTAATGTTTAGATTTATATACGAAATATATACAAATATATACAAGTTTTATCTAAATAAATATAGAGAATGTAATGAGCAAATTGATTGGTTTTATTTTGTAATTGGTAAAAGAATTTCAGGGAAAAGATCAGATATATATATATATATATATATATATATATACTTATAGTCCTAAATAAAACAAACGAAATAAAATTATCTATTATTAATGTTTCAATTTTTTATTATCTATATTCATAGCTCATTTTTTTTCAACTACAGCATTTTCACTTCAAAGTAAATAAGCACATAATTCATTTACATATCTCTCGTTTTTTATTTCACTAATCAAATATAATTTATTTATTAGGTTCTTGTCTATATTGAATTTATTAATTAATTCTTTAACATTCTTGTATATAAATAAATTTACGCATATTATTATTATTATTATTAAATTTAATTTTATGCGTACACGAATGCACGCATGGGTTGCTTTTTACAAAACATTTTTATACTTAGATTATTATTATTAATTATTAATTATATATGTGATCATACTGCCAATGTCTGTTTTCGTATAATATAATAATACTTTTTAATAAATGTTTTCATATGTAATGTTTAGATTTATATACGATATATACAAATTTATATACAAGTTTTATCTAAATAAATAGAGATTGTAATGAGCAAATTGATTGGTTTTATTTTGTAATTGGTGAAGGAATTTCAGGGAAAAAATCATTTATATATATATATATATATATATATATATATATACTTGTAGTCCTAATTAAAACAAATGAAATAAAATTAACCATTATTAATCTTTCAATTTTTTATTATCTATATTCATAGCTCATTTCTTTTCTACACAGCATTTTCACTTCAAAGTAATAAGCACATAATTCATTTACATATCTCTCGTTTTTTATTTCACTAATCAAATATAATTTATTTATTAGGTTCTTGTCTATATTGAATTTATTAATTAATTCTTTAACATTCTTGTATATAAATAAATTTACGCATATTATTATTATTATTATTAAATTTAATTTTATGCGTACACGAATGCACGCATGGTTGCTTTTTACAAAACATTTTTATACTTAGATTATTATTATTATTATTAATTATATATGTGATCATACTGCCAATGTCTGTTTTCGTATAATATAATAATACTTTTTAATAAATGTTTTCATATGTAATGTTTAGATTTATATACGATATATACAAATTTATATACAAGTTTTATCTAAATAAATAGAGATTGTAATGAGCAAATTGATTGGTTTTATTTTGTAATTGGTGAAGGAATTTCAGGGAAAAAATCATTTATATATATATATATATATATATATATATATATATACTTGTAGTCCTAATTAAAACAAATGAAATAAAATTAACCATTATTAATCTTTCAATTTTTTATTATCTATATTCATAGCTCATTTCTTTTCTACAGCATTTTCACTTCAAAGTAAATAAGCACATAATTCATTTACATATCTCTCGTTTTTTATTTCACTAATCAAATATAATTTATTTATTAGGTTCTTGTCTATATTGAATTTATTAATTAATTCTTTAATATTCTTGTATATAAATAAATTTACGCATATTATTATTATTATTATTAAATTTAATTTTATGCGTACACGAATGCACGCATGGGTTGCTTTTTACAAAACATTTTTATAATTAGATAATATAATTTTTAATTTTTGAAACAATACTATATAGTATTTAGTACATACTGCTATTTTTAACCAAAAATTCGAGTGAACTTAAATAAATGGAACATTTATTATTTATTTTAATGGAATTGGAATAAATCATTTATATATAAATACATATATATATATATATATATATATATATATAAATAAATACATACATATTTTCATAGCATTTTAAATATATGCATTGGGGAGTTAGGGGCTTGTTGTAATAAAAAAATAATTCTACAACTATTGTTTATTATTTCAAAATTAAACATTTTTTAGAAAAATGTGCGGTTTACAACTTTTCCGACGTTGTAATATAAAAAAACGACAATAATACCTCCAATAATTTATTATTTATGGTTATTTAAAAAAAGTAACGTGTTTCTAAAGTAAGTAGTTTTTCTCATAAATCAACTCTCAACATCTTCTGCATTTGTATATAATTCTTGCATGTTTCAAATAACCCCAGGTACGATTTTTTAACATTTATCAAGATAACAATTTAAACTTAAATTTATAGTAATCACAAAAATTGTAACATATTTTCAAATCAAAGATTAATAAACTTAAAATGAAATAAGATATTTTTAAGTGAATTTTAAATTGAAAAATATAATAAAATTAATATAAAAAATGGTTTTTATATTTACAGGAAATTTTATTTAATTTTTAAGTAACATCAAAGATACCTACACGTTTATTTTGTGATTTGAAAACGTAACAAAAACGAAACATTGTTACTTTAAGGTAACGTCTGTGCCTTCTAGGTTACGTAATCGTTTTAATTACGTTTTGTGTGGTAAAAGTCGATAAAATAATGCCGCAAAAAAATTTAAATGGTATAATTTTATCAAAAATGACGCACCTGCACACTTCTGTTTACTGCATCGGGTTGCATAATAACGAAATTGTAGCGTTTTAGCACAATTTGAAAAAAAATGATTAAGTAAAAATGTGCAAACCAAATCCAGAAAATACAAAATAACAAATTTGAATAACACTTTTAAAAATGAAAATGGTTAATTAGATGTTTTAAAAATATTATTTTAAAATGCAGAAACTCTTAAAAAATGCGTTGGAAATTGTTGTAATTAGTTTTCGTAATCGTTTCAATCACGTTTTGTGGTTTACTTGGTAAAATAAATAAAATAATGCTGCAAAAAAAATTATGACGGTATATTTTTATCAAAAATGAAAAAAAGCTATACTGTTACGTAACAGTCTAGGCGATACTGTTACGTAACAGTCTAGTTTGAAAAAGCGATACTGTTACGTAACAGTCTAGGTTGAAATGCAAACGTCTGTGTGCCTTCTAAGTTACGTAATCGTTTTAAATACGTTTTATGATTTACTGGGTAAAAGTCGATGAAATTATGCCGCAAAAAAAATTATGTCGATATAATTTTGTCAAAAATGACGCACCTGCACACTTCTGTTTACTACGTCGACCAGCAGTACAATATTATATGCAGATGACAAAAACATATCTTAGTAACAAGCCCCTAGCTCCCTCACATGCACATATTCATGAATCAAATATAATTGTAATATAATTATATAAATATAATTATATTTATAATAAATACTTTGTTTATAAATTCCTAATTCTAAAGTCTTTTTTGTCGTGTGTTTTTTTCTTTAATTAAATCTTCCTTTACTATTACGTATTGCGCACACATTTTACTTTACTATAACATTATCTAGAGAGGTCTCTCACTTAAAAATATTATTCACTTCGTAGAATTTCGTATGCTAAAAATTTTATCACTTGTTCGTATATAGGTATTATTTATATATTTACATTTTTTTTTGTTTTTGGAAATTTAGTGCAGTTTAGAAACGTAAAGTTTCTACTATTCGGGACGCAAGGACCTCAGCGTGTGCAGTGACGGATCTAATTCGGTTAGGCGGCTCGGGGACTGGTCTCGGGGCCACTTGTTTGCTAAAAAAAATAATAATACAGTAATATGATGGAAATAGTGATGAATAAAGGTATTTGTAATTTTTTTGTTTATTAAAGTTGTACTTTTGATTGTGCGTTAAAAATATTTCAGGGAGTCTCGAAATGTTCTGGATAGTGTGAAAATGTTCTGAGTAGTCTGAAAATGCTCTATAATGTTCTGAATAGTTTGAAAATGTTGTAGATATCTTGGAGATATCCTAGATAAATCTGAAAATGTTTTTTTCAGATATATTCTAAATACTCTGCAAATGTTTTTTTTGTATAGTCTTAAAATTTTCTAGATGTTCTAGATAGTCTAAAAATTTTCTAGATGTTCTAGATAGTTGCAAAATATTTTAGGGAGTTTGGATACATTCTAGATACTCTGAAAATGTTTTTTTTCTGAATAGTGTAAAAATGTTTTTAATAGTAAAATATTATCTGAAAATATTTCGGATTATCTGAAGAAGTTCTAGGTGTTCAAATTGTTCTAGATAGTATTAAAATGTTCTAGGTATATATATATATATATATATATATATATATATATTCTAGATAATCTGAAAATACGTTAGATATTCTGAAATTGTTTTTAGGTACTTCTAGTTCTAGGCTATGTGAAAATGTTTTAAATAATTTTGTGGTCAGTCTAAAAATATTCTGAATAGTCAGAAAATGTTCTAGATAATCCATTTTTTGCTGAATAGTCTGAAAATGTTTTAGATAATTTTCTGGATAGTCTAAAAATATTTTGGATAGTCAGAAAATGTTCTAGATAATCTAATTTTTTACTGAATAGTCTGAAAATATTTTATATAATTTTCGGGATAGTCTAAACATATTCTGGATAGTCCGAAATTATTTTGCTGTAGATAGTGCTCTGGAAATTGTCCTGAAAATGTTTTGGATAGTCTAAAAATATTTGAAAATTTTATTTATGTATTACGAAAATGTTCGTTAAATAATTTTAAAAAGTCCTGATAGTCTGAGAATGTTCTAGATAGTCTGAAATTAGTTTTAATACTCTTAAATTATTCTTAATAATCTGAAAATTGTTCACATCGTCTGTATATACTCTAGATAGTCTGCAAATATTTTAGATAAATGTTCTGGACTTTCAGAAAATATTGCTAAAAATGCAGCATAAAATAAAAATGTTGCAAATCATCTGAAAAAGTTGCAAATATCCTGAAATTTCCTTCAAATCGCCGGAAAATTGTTTTTTTAATTAGCTGAAAGTTGCAAAAAGTCAAAAAATGTTGCAAATTGTATATAAATCGTCTAAAAATGTTGTAAATGTTATAAAAGATTTTTCAATTAGTGTGAAAATGTCTCAAAAAGTCTGAAAATTGTAGCATATTATTGTAAATCGTCTGTGAATTGAATGTATTATTGATGGATTCTAAATTTTACAAATACCTTTACTCATTTATATATATATATATATATATATATATATATTAATAAAGTAATTTAATACAATAATAAATTCAATAATACATACCTTTATAATATAAATCTTTATACATTGTCGGACAATTCGTCTGAGGCAGCGTGAAAAAACATCATAAACATTATAAAAACTATTAACAATACTATAAAAAAACACCAATACACTATATACAGGGAATAAGAAGCGACAAATAAACAACGAAATAGATAATAAACTGTGCAATAAACTATATTGGCAAATTATTCTGCCCCAAATAAAAATTTCTATATCGCATTCATAAATTATAAAAAATTAAATAAAATTTGCACAATTTCAATTCATACACCAATTTCTGCGTCCATAGTTTATACGAAAAAAATCATAAATCATTTTATTATTAAAAATAAAAATTAACATTAATAATTACTGATATATAATTGTAAATTCCTACCTGTTGATTCCCAAAATCAATATTTGTTCTAACTGTCCTGTGATGTAAGGGTTGAAGAGGTCTTGCATTATTTCCTAATGGAGCTTTCGGCGTTTCTTCTGAACCTTGCATTAATCTTCTTAAGGCATATAGCTGTAATAAACCAAAAATTATCATTTTACACATATTTGCATATTTTCAAATATTTAATAACATGTATTAATAGATATTTCCATAACATGTAGTAATAAAGCGTAGCGTATTAAAAATGATATTCGTCTGATTTATATATCCAAATTTAATTTTCTATTTTTTATTTACCTCTTGCTTTGTCATATAAATAGGTTTATTTAGAATAATCCAGACTGTAGTTTCCCAACAACCAGGATGTGTCGTAGAGCCTTCGTAGGTCATGAAATGCTGGGTGTCCGGCAACAAAGCCCTTAACGACAAGTGCCGGATTGGTGTGGAATCACCTTTAAATAATAACAAAAAAATATTTTTTAAATTTAAATACGTAATAAACTACATCATTTCATAGTTGTCTACGACTTTATTGACTTATAGAACATATATAAAAAAAAATATCCGTAATAATATAACTTATATACAACCCAACATATAGATATATACTCATTAAACCCTTTTGTAAGATATTGTTTATTTTTTACCTTTTCATTTTTAATTTCATTAACAATATAAAAAAAAAAGAGTGCGCGTAAGGATCACACGCGATTGAAGTAAAACTTTTAATATTGTATGAGTAGGCAATTAAGATAAAAATAAAAAAACATCATATTTGAATTTTAAAAATCATCTTTTAATAATCATATAACATCAATAATAATAAGATCTCCTGAGCATCGGCACAGCTGTCCTACTGATATTAAGAGTTTGAATATGATGTGAAGCTTTCTTCCTAATTTTGTTACCTATCTTACCGGGAAATTCAAACCATAAACGTAGAAGTTCATCATTATCGCCACGTTCTATGTACACTAATTTTCCCACACAACCATTAGCTAAGCCATCACTTACATCAATATTAGTTGTTATTATGTAAAATTTATTCAGAACTAAAATTATTTCATACAGCAAAGCCCCGGTATCAATAACCGATTTTTGTGAAACTGCTGACGAATGTATGATTGTTGATCTGTCGCATGGCAACCTACATAAATATCCGTGGCAGTAGATATTATTTTGTCTTCAACGAGATTCAATATAAATTTATTATATTCCATGGCACATTTATTCTCTAAGAAAAAGTCTTATTCCATGACGACATAATACAGGAGCAACCTCTTCTTTTGTAAAAAAACGTGATTCAATTAATGCAAGTTCATATAGGGTTTAGCGCTCGACTTACGCATGACATGACGCGATATGAGTGGATACTCGCGACATCAGCGCTTACGGCGTCGTAGTGTTCAACTACACGTTGGCATTTTCGTTGCATTTGTACGGATTTACACCCGTGTCGCGCCTAAAAATTTTTACACCCATATCGCGCCTAAAGAAGTTTTACTTCAAAAACTTAAACACCATAATATTAGGTTGTCAAATATCTCCCTTCCGCTTTTTTGCTCTTGGTTTATAATACAAAAAGGCGGAAGGGAGATATTTGACAACCTATTATTTTGTGCAATTAATTTTATTACCAAAGTCATATTATTTAACCAAAGTAATATTTTATGTTACTTAATTATCATAGTTTTTTATAAAGTCTACGTATATGTATGTGTATGTATTTATGTACTTATATGTGAATGTACATATATGTGTAATGTATGTATATGTATGCGTATTATATGAGTATCAATGTATGTATATTTGTATGTAAGTAGATGTGTATGTATATATGTATGTATGTGTATATATATATATATATATATAAATATACAAGGTATAAATTAGCATACTATATTATAAAACTGTATAAAGCCGATTGGCGTATAAATAAATAAATAAATAAATATGTATAGCTAATTGAAATACATACATATATTTCTAAACAGATGTTTGCTTTCATATTTTTATTTTTTCAAATTTTTTTTAATAATGATCTAAAATTTTTCAATGTCCCATTTAAAACCGGTACCTAAATTTACGTTTAACCTAAAATACCGCTTCGTTTTAGGTTGGCTGAAAGATGCCCGTACCAGTTTGTTATGGGACATATATAAAAAAATTCAAATTTTAATATTCCAAAACTTTTATATCGGAGCATATATAGCTGTTGGCAAGAAATCGTAGCAAGTTTTATCTAGTTTTTCCCTATCTAACTGAAAAGGGGTGCTTTCATATGATATTTGTGAATGAATTGACAAAAACCAAAAAAAATGTCCCGAATTTTCTATTAAATGCTAAAGAAAATAAAAGATCGAATTCTAAGTTGTTTTATTCCAAAATTTTATATCGGGGTGTATAAAATTGTAATTAATTGTCAATTATGTGACAGTTGCAAATATGAAATAAAATACAGTGAAATGTGTCAGTGTTCAAAATAATACAAATCAGGGCATTTTTTTTCAATAATTGACACACAATAATTTGCACAAAAATTTGAAATTTGATCTAATAATCTATAATATATTTCTTCTTTAATACTTTTATCTATCCATGTATATATAAAAAATGTTGTTCACTCTATATGATTTAATTAATATAGAACTATTAAATATTTTTAATTCTCTGCAATATTTGTGATCTTGTTTCCACTTTTAAAACATCAGGTTCATGAAATTATAAAATAGTATAATTTCCAATTATATTCAGTAATTATAATAATCATTTGGACAGACATTAATTATGTTTTTATTTTTGGTGTTTCTTTGGCAAATCGGCTCAATGTTGGTGAACATTTTAATATATGTGTTTGTCTTTTCAACAAAGCGTTTTTTAATTAAAAATACATCAAATTGTACTATATTATGTAATAACATACTTATATCTGTAAAAAAGTAAAAATTTGTCCAAAAACTTATCTCTGCATTGATTTGCTGCTGCATCTCTTATTTTATATTTATAATGCAAATCTTTTTAAAAAATATTGATCCTTAAGAATAAATTGACAAACTTCGAAATATTAAAAATATTAAATATCATATAGCTGTTGGCATGGAATTGTAGCAAATTTTATCTAGTTTCTCCCTATCTAACTGAAAAAGGGTGCTTTCATATGATATTTGTGAGTAATTTGATTGAAAACCAAAAAAATGTCCCGAAATTTCTATTTAATGCTAAAGAATATAAAAGATAGAATTCAAAGTCGTTTTATTCTAAAGAATTCTATAGTTTCTGTTTTATTTATTTGAATATTATGACCTAGAGCTTTGGAAAAGGTCAAAACCATTTACATTAGTTAGAACCCACAATCTCCCTCTCAATCTCTCCTCATATATTGATAATATCTAATTCTATCAAATTTGTATCCATATTTACATAGCTAATTAATTCCAATTAATCAAATTAAAGATATCAAATAACACTCACCTCTATATAAAACTTTGCCAAATGTGCTCGTTATTATTCGTAATTCCGGATTAGGGGTATCTCCGATCTGAAATATAAGGTAATAGATATATGAATTAAGTTATTTATATATATATATATATATATATATACATATATAAATTAATTAAAAATAATTTATTTACCTGTACCATAAGTGAAATACCAACAATCCCTTGAGATCTATGTTGTGCCTCTGACATATTATGATACAATTCTTTATTGAAACCGTAAAGCTGGATCTGAAAAAAAATAAAAATATTTAATAAAAAATACCTAAATCAATTTATTGAAAAAAAATTCAGTTTATAAAATATATGTTTTTATTTTTATTTCTTATATGTACAATTTTTATGTATGAACCAATTATAAACTAATAGCATAAGACTATTACTACCATAAGAATATATTTTACGATTTCCCAGCTATAAAAAGAGTCAGATTATATACGATTGAATTATTCTTAAAATTCCACTTGATTTAAGATGTGCAAAGTGAGTGTACTCTAAAACTATTATTCAAGAACCTTAACATAAATCGTTTTAAATTATTGTGGTCGTTTCAAATGCGAGCTAAAAGCATGGAAATTTATTTTACTGCGATAATAGAGAAGTTTTATTGCTAGTTTCTTATGCATACTTTTGCATAAACAGATAATAAATAAAAAAGAAGTCGGCAGTGGGTTAAATTAATTCGCTGAGGGTAATTAACAGAAAAATTTCAATAGTAGAAATTACATTCAAATATCTTGAAAATTTCTGAATAAAAGATATGAATATTTCAAAAAGTGCTTGCACATGTTTTGCACCGACCCATAATTTTTAGCATACAAGTAACAACCGATTTTAGAAATTAAAAACGTTTTTATCAAATATTGATAAAACAATGGTTTTATATTTTTAGTATTTAAAGTATGCTTTGAAAAATATTTGTGCTAAATGTTAACTATTTTGGAGTTAAAATAGATTAAATATAAATATTTCAAAAGGTGCTTGCATATTTTTTGCACCGACTCGTATAAGTTTTAGTTATTACAAATAAAAGACGATTTTACTGAAAAAAACAAACAATAGTTTTATATTTTTAGTATTTAAAGTATACTTTTAAAAATATTTGTGCCAAATTTTGACTATTTTGAAGTTAAAACAGAGTAGACATAAATATTTCAAAAAGTGCTTGCATATATTTTGCACCCACTCGTAAATTTTTAAAATTCTCATGGGTACTTTTCTCGTAAAAATGTAAATAACTTAAAAATTTCCGAGAAAACTTAACAAGTTTAGTATTTGTCGTCATAATAAACATATTAAAAAATAACATATTTAAATTATAATATTCTAGAACAATTGTAATTATTATAATAAATTCCTCAATTTTTGCTCCTACATACTTAGACGTTCAAGGGTACTTTTATTATAAAAATTTAATTATCTTGAAAAATTCTGAATAAACTTTTTAATTTTAGTATTTGCCATTAGAGTAGACATTGAAGTAAAAACATACTAAAATTGCAACAATATAAAACAGTTGCAAATAATAAAATAAATTACTCAAACTTTACTGTTTCATCAAACACGCAGTTAGACTACCAAAGGTACTTTTTTTATAAAAATGCAGATATCTTAAAAAATTCTGAGAAAACATATCAAGTTCAGTATTTTTTATCATAGTAGACATATTAAAGTATAACATACTAAAATTTCAGCAATCTAAAATAGTTGCAATAAATAAAATAAATAAATAAATTACTCAAATTTTACTGTTTCATCGAAACTAACTATGATAACTTCAAAACACGAAGTTAGACTATCAAAGGTACTTTTCTTATAAAAATGTGGATATCTTCAAAATTTCTGAGAAAACATGACAAGTTCAGTATTTTTATCATAGTACACATATTGAGAAATAACATATTTAAATTAAAATATTCTAGAACAATTGCAAATATTATAATAAATTTCTCAATCTTTGCTCCTACATACTTAGGGTACTTTTATTATAAAAATTTAAATATCTTAAAAATTTCTGAATAAACTTTTTAATTCTAGTATTTGTCTTGAAAGTAGATGAATTGAAGTAAAAACGTACTAAAATTGAAATAATCTAAAACAGTTGCAAACATTAAAAAAATTACTCCAACTTTACTGTTTTATTGTATAACTTCAAAACACGTAGTTAGACTATCAAAGGTACTTTTCTTATAAAAATGGAGATAACTAAAGAAAATCTGAGAAAACATATCAAGTTCAGTATTTTTTATTATAGTAGACATATTAAGGTATAACATACTAAAATTACAAACATCTGAAACAATTGTAAATAATATAATAAAATATTATTGTATGTAGTTAAATAAACAGCCCTCGCGCACCGCCCGGTGCGTACATCCAACCCGGAACAAGCGGTCGTTTCAGGTTAAGATTCAAAATAGGGAAAAATCTTGGGAAAAATACTATTTAATACGGAAACCAAAAAAATCAGTTTTTTATTCTCATTCACGTTAGGTATTTTTTCACATAATGTTTCAACGAATATTAATATATTATTCAGTATATTAAAAAATAGTTTACTTGTAATGTTTTTTTAATGAAAATAAATGCATTTCACGATATCAAAAAAAAAGTTCATGCCGACATGAACTGCTTAATCGATTCTGCATAGAAAGTCATTGACGTAACTGCGTTTTGCATATTATACTCTATAGAAAGAAAGTGTTAGACTCGTAGGAAAAAGATAGTTTTATAAAAATTATTAAACTAAAGCTTTTTAATAAATACTAACACTATCTATGTTCCAAAAAAAAAATCAATTGCTCTATTAAAAATTATTTAAATTATTTCATCAGTAAAAGTTTTAACATAAAGTTAACTAATATAAATTATTAGAATTTAAACATGATAGTAAGTAATAGCAGTAAACATAATTATTATTATAAACTCAAAAACTGATTCTTACTCGATAAAATCATATTATTTATTTTATCTTTGTAATTTTTTGTAATACACATTTTTACCCTAAAACTTACATAAATATCTATATAGAATTTAATAAAAAAATATTTATTTGATATTGTAAATATTATATTACAAATAGTGTCAAAAAATAAAGGCAATGAAACAAATATAACAAAATATTTTTCTTGTGTTTATATAAATATGATTTTATTTTTGTGAACGACCTCATTTTGTCAAAAAAATATTAAATTCTTCGTTTATAAATATTTTTTACGTTTCATATTAGGTTGTCAAATATCTCCCTTCCGCCTTTTTGTATTAAACCAAAAGCAAAAAAGCGGAAGGGAGATATTTGACAACCTAATACAATATTTGTGAGTTATTTGACAAAAACCAAAAAAATGTCCTGAATTTTCTATTAAATGCTAAAGAATAATGAAAGATCGAATTCAAAGTCGTTTTATTTCAAACTTTTATATAGGAGTGTATATAACTGTTGGCAAGGAATCGTAGTAAATTTTATCTAGTTTCTCCCTATCTAACTGAAAAGGAGTGCTTTCATATGATATTTGTTAGTTATGTGACAAAAACCAAAAAAAGTCCTGAATTTTCTAATAAATGCTAAAGAATAATGAAAGATCGAATTCAAAGTCGTTTTATTCCAAACTTTTATATCAGAGTATATATAATAATTTCTACATTTCGGATATATGAGATTGAATAATTTATTTTATGGCAAACTAATTTTCTTAATCTTTAAAATAATGAAATAATAATATAAAATCAATACAAAAGTTTTTATACCAACAGTTTTTCCTATGCAAAAAATGTTTTTTTTATTATAAATATCCCGAATAAAATTTTCATTTTTACAATCTTTCCATATAGAATACATGTTATTTTATTAGAATTTAATATAAGTAGTAGGTATTTTTCGAACTTTATGTATATATTTATAAATTCCAGCTGGTGCTACGTGCTACGTGTCTACGTAGCTTCGGGCTATTTCAAAAGCATTTGACGTAGAAACAAAAAATAACTTCGCATATAGAGTAAAGCTAAAATACCTGCTCGATCGTTCGGTCTACAGTTTAATGGAAATGTAGCCGAATCGGTAAATAGTATAAATAGTCACTTCATACTTAAATTTATAAAAGTTAAATTTTTTTATCATTCAATGAAAATCTGCCTCGTAATTGCTGAAGGCTGAAATGTTTCATTTACAAAAACCCACTTTACAGTCATTAGCTTTTTCAACCTCCATCATATATAATTATCAAATACAAAATTTCTAGACAAAAACCTTAATGCACATACACACTGGTTTCAGACGTCGTTCATATTTAGGTGACTTTTGATTTGAAGTTATACATTTTGTGTAATAAATGACTCCGAGTTGCTTTTTAGAGAAGGGTCGTTTGCGAAAATCATATTGAAAAAAATGTTATTCTGCGTCGGCATTCTAATGGGGAAATGTAGTAGAAGAAGTATTGCTAGTCACGATGGATAATAGTAGACATATATATATATATATATATATATATATATATATACTCAACCTCTAATTAAATCTACGTAGGCTGTTTAACGAACTATTTATTCACCATGGCATCGACATTAATTTAGCAGAAAAAGATTTATTTAATTGCTTGCAAATCAAATTGTTAGTAATAAATTGCCATGAAAATTACAAGTGCTATCACAGATAGCGCAAAAATTCACTAAACATACGAAAGAAACTAGATAAAATTTACTACGATTCCATGCCAACACGTAGTAAGAGTATCAAAGGTACTTTTCTTTTAAAAATGCAGATATCTTCAAAATTTCTGAGAAAGCATATCAAGTTCAGTATTTTTTATCACAGTAGATACATTAAAGTATAACATACTGAAATTGCAGCAACCTAAAACAGTCGTAAATAATATAATAAAATATTCAAAATTTACTGTTTTATCGTATCACTTCAAAATGGATTCTTAGACTCTTATTGGGTACTTTTCTCGTAAAAACGTGAATATTTTAAAAATTTCTGAATAAACTTATCAAGTTTAGTGTTTTTTATCATAGCAGACATATTAAAGTATAACATACTAAAATTGCAGCAACCTAAAGCAGTTGTAAACAATATAATAAAATATTCAAATATTACTTTTTTATCGTATCACTTCAAAATAGATTCTTAGATTCTCTTGGGTACTTTTCTCGTAAAAACGTGAATATTTTAAAAATTTCTGAATAAACTTATCTAGTTTAGTATTTTTTGTCATAGTAGACATATTATAGTATAACATACTAAAATTGCAGCAACCTAAAACAGTTGTAAATAATATTATAAAATATTCAAAGTTTACTTTTTTATCGTATCACTTCAAAATGGATTCTTAGACTCTCATGGGTACTTTTCTCGTAAAAACGTAAATATTTTAAAAGTTTCTGAAAAAACTTATCAAGTTTGTTATTTTTTGTCATAGTAGACATATTAAAGTATAACATACTAAAATTGCAGCAACCTAAAACAGTTGTAAACAATATAATAAAATATTCAAATTTTACTTTTTTATCGTATCACTTCAAAATGGATTCTTAGACTCTCATGGGTACTTTTCTCGTAAAAACGTAAATATTTTAAAAATTTCTGAGAAAACTTATCAAATTCAGTATTTTTTATCATAGCAGACATATTAAAGTATAACATACTAAAATTGCAGCAACCTAAAACAGTTGTAAACAATATAATAAAATATTCAAATTTTACTTTTTCATCGTATAACTTCAAAATGGATTCTTAGACTCTCATGGGTACTTTTCTCGTAAAAACGTGAATATTTTAAAAATTTCTGAGAAAACTTATCAAGTTTAGTATTTTTTATTATAGTAGACATATTAAAGTATAACATACTAAAATTACAGCAACCTAAAACAGTTGTAAACAATATTATGAAATATTCAAATTTTACTTTTTCATCGTATCACTTCAAAATGGATTCTTAGACTCTTATGGGTACTTTTCTCGTAAAAACGTAAATATTTTAAAAATTTCTGAGAAAACTTATCAAGTTTAGTGTTTTTTATCATAGTAGATATATTAAAGTATAACATACTAAAATTAGAAAAATCTGAAATAATTGTATACATGATAATAAAATATTAATGCATGTCGTTAAATAGGCCGCCCTCGCCCGTCGCTCAGCGCCTCTAACCCGGAACAAGCGGTCGTTTCAGGTTAAGATACAAATTAGGGCAAAATCTTGGGAAAAATATTATTTATTACGAAAACCAAATAAATTTTTTTTTTTTAATTTGCATTCATGTTCAGTATTTTTTCAATAAGTAATACATAATAGTTTAATGAATTTTGATATATTATTCTGTATATTAAAACTATAAAAATAGTTTACGCATAATGTATAAAAAATTTTGCAATAAAACGACTTTGAATTCGATCTTTCATTATTCTTTGGAAATAAATAGAAAATTTGGGACATTTTTTTGGTTTTTGTCAAATAACTCACAAATATCATATGAAAGCACCCCTTTTGAGTTAGATAAAGAGAAACTAGATAAAATTTACTACGATTTTATTTCAACAGTTATATACACTCCGATATAAACATTTGGAATAAAACGACTTAGAATTCGATCTTTTATATTCTTTAGCATTTTTTAGAAAATTCGGTGAATGAATTGCGGACTATCTAAATGTTAATATTAAGAGCTAAAACTTTCAGAGAATTTTTTTATATTAATTTGGAAGCATTTGAGCCCTTGGAAGCAAGGAAATTCGAAAAGGTCCATATTAAGGACCACGATAATATATATATATATATATATATATAATTATTTATTATTTATTATTACTTCTCCAGGAAATTTATATCCTTGAACCTGGTGCTCGGAGCCCTGGTGATTGTCAGTCCCGTAGTGTATATAAATTTCTTCGAATTGATATCTGTAAGCCAAAGGGCCCCCAGAAATATTCACATGTTGCTTACTGTCTTTATCTACCCGAAATACTAAGGACTGCCCTGTGTTGTGCAGAGTGCCAGAAACCTGAGGAAAAAATAAAAATTCGATTGATAGTAATCATACTGTGAAAACCAAACAAATAACACATATCAAACAATTAGTTATCGAATTATGTTTAGTAAAATTCTTAGCTGATTCATCATTGTAGAGAAGATTGTTTTAAATAAAAAACTAAAGAACTGTTGAACTGAACTTAAAAATATCTATTTACCTTATAAAACAATAAAATAACGTATACTTAAAAATTATATTCAAGTGTCGTAAACTAAACAACAGTGCTCAAGTCAAAAAAAAACTAACCATAACAAAAATATTTTCATTAAAAATTGTCAACGCGGTTTTTAATCTCGTGATAGCCGTGTAGCACAATTGACGCCGATGGCTGGTTACACATGTTTTGCTCTCTACTTTAAAATAGTATCGTTGAAAATTGCCGAATTTTACTCGTTTTTGAGAATAATGGTGATGAATCTTCTTACTCTTTAACTTATATATTTATTTTTATTTATATTATTAAATTTCCGTAGGGTAAGTGATTTTTGCATATTTTTACGTTTTAAAGAATTCTGAGCATTTTGGCATACCTTAGAAAAAATGAATGTATGTGTGTATGTTTGGATACAATTTTTCGTACACGATTTCGGGCGCATGGATCAACCGATTTGAATGATTTACAAAACATTCGATTCCTATTGATAGAGAGATATGCTGATTGGTTTTTGGCAAAGGCAGGTCTAGCCGGTACGGAGATACGGAGCAAAGAGTGCAGAAAATAGAAATCGAGTTTTTGAGAGTACGGAGTATCCGATTTGAATTATTCAAAAATCATTTCACTTGCATTGACAAAATGAATAATTGATGATGATTTTTGGCAAGGCAGGTCTAGCGGCTTTGGAGATATAGAGCAAAAAGTAAAAATATTTGGCGGTCAAAAAAGATCATTAGACATGTGCACATCAAATTATCATATATTTGATAATTTTTTAAAAAATTAGTACTAATTTTATCACAGTTTTGTTGGGCTCCGTACCAAGATTGTTAATTTTTAAAGATTATTTATACAGTTCAAGCAAATTTCAAATTTTTCAGATTTTTTTTTCAAAATTTTAATATATATATATGAAAATACATAAATTTTAAATTTACAATTCAGTTTGAAAATGTATATATTTCAAATGCGTCTATTCTAATCGTAAGAAATATATCTTCAAATGGATTCATTGGGCACCTCTTGCTAATGCAAACATTCTCAAGTGCTTTGAGCAATAAGATTCTCACTGTATTTATGAACGATAAAATATATAGTGATTATATTTATCTATTTGAAAATGTACAAAACAATTGTTAATAATCATTGACCAATGTTCATTGATTACTGATGTTTTTTCCTCAAATATATAATTCTGGTACGGGAAGTTCTAGCAATTTGCCTTAAGGCACGATGCCATATACCACTAGTTATTTTATTTATTTATTTATCATTTACCTTATGTTTATCAACATGTACTTGTCTAAGATGAGGATCGAACAAAAGTTTATCAGGTTCTACATTTATTGGAGACTGCCTTCGTCCTTTGTTGCACATGTTCCATTGGGGTTTATTAGACCCCAAAAACCAGGACCTGGAAATAAAAAAATATATATAAAAATCTTATTCATTGTTACATTGTAGTAGTATATTTTTAGAAGAGTAAAGAATGTATGATTTTATGATTATTAGTCGTGATTTTATGAGGTCCTTAGTGAATAGCATATTCAGATCATAATGTAGAGTTTATAGTCCTAACCAATAATTAATTAAACTACAAAAAAATTATCAAAATTTTTACTAATAGGTTGTATCATAATTCCAAAATAATATCATGCCTGTTTCAAAAAATTCATTTCTCATTGATTATTCACACATATCAGGAAGTTTTTTGCAATTTATCCTAAGGCATATGGCTTAAAGGCTATACTATGATATTTATAGTAAAAAAACAAATTTTATCTGGTACGCCAATGTCTAAAGATTTTTCTGAACGTGTTTGCAAAACGTTCATGTGTTTGTTATTCGAGAAGGCGGTTACCTTTATACCGCGCTTTAGACATCACATGAGCACGTTATAGGCGGATCGCTTCGAATTCAATTTTCTATACCGAAATCCTCTTGATTTCAGCAAATTTAATTGACACGTAGAGGAGTCCAAAAATTTATTAAGTCAGAAATAATAATATTAAAAAAAAGTCAAAATAACTTATTGATAGTTTCATTTTAACACCAACAATAAAAAAAATTTAAAACCAGTTTTTTAACGCTAATTTCTGTATTATACCTATTTTTGTTTTTTCATAATTTTAGATACTTTATGAAGCATTAAATACTAAAATTATAAAATCTTAGTGCTACTAAAATATATAAATAGTCATTCACTCATTCACTCATTTTATAAGTTAACTTCTGAAGTATATAATTTTTTTATATCACTGATTTCATCTAAGTTTTACGTCGACATAAACTCGTTTTTTATACATCTTTAGCAGTGTTGATACACATAAAAACGCATTTATAGTTTAATTAAGTCACCTTGCAAATTAACTACAATCTCTGATATAACAAAACTATACAGACTACTGACCAGAATCTAAAAAAAATAAAAAATATAGCCAATTAATTTAATCTAGTAAAATTCATCACATAGTACATAACCTCTGGGGTAACTACTAATTTTATTAAACTAATAATTAATATTTGTTTAATAAAAATGTCAATAATGGTTTTTAAACTTTAGAAATAGGTGCTACTGTTTTTGAGGGACGTTAACGAAAGGTCAGCTAGACGATTGTGAAACTTTTTTTCATCAGTCATAATTTTGTAAATTTACCAGTTAGCTGGGAGAAAAGTAAATTAAATGCTAATTGGAACATTACATTACATTATTTATCTACGTGAAAATACTGAAAAACTATTCTTAAAAATTTTAGTGTCACTACCATACCCTGCCACAACCCAAAGGATCAACATCCAACGCAAATAAATCGAAAATGAAAATATTTGCATATTATTACGTTTTAAAGGTTTCTGAACATTTTGACATATTTCTCTAAAAATGGATATATGTGTGTGTATGTAATATGTATGTATGTTGGGATACAATTTTTCGTGAGTATTTCAAAAAACATTTGATTTCTATTTATATGAAGAATATTTTTTGATGAAGACAGGTTTAGCTGTTTCGGAGATATGGGGCAAAAAGTGCCCAAAATGATAATTTAGTTTTTGAGAGAACGGAGTACCCGATTTGAATGATTCAAAACACATTTTACTGGTAATTGCGAGATGAATAATTGATGAAATTTTTGGTAAAGCAGGTCTAGCGGTATCGGAGATACAGAAGAAAAAGTAAAAAAAAAGATATTTGGTGGTCAAAAATGACCATTAGACACGCATCAAATATTTGTTAAAGTTTTTAAAAATGAGTACTAATTTTTTGTTACAATTTTGTTGGGTTCCGTACCAAGTTTTCTAATCTTTTAATTTTATTTATACGGTTCAAACAAATTTCAAAATTCTCTGAAAAAAAATTCTTAAAATTTTCAAAAATATACAAAGTTTTATACTTCAAATATGAATTTTAAATTTACAATTGAGTTTCAAGATGCATGTATATATTTTAAATGCGTTATTCTCATCGTAAGAAATATATCCTCAGATGGATTCATTCGGCACTTCTTGTTAATGTAAACATTCTCAAGTGCTTTGAACGATAAGATCGTCACTGTATATTTTATCAACAATAAAATATATAGTGATTATAATTATCTATTTGAAAACGTATAAAACAATTGTTGTAAATCATTCATCAATTTTTATTGATTACTGATTTTTTTCCCTCGGATATATAATTCTGGTACGTGAAGTTCCAGCAACTAAGGCACGATGCCATACACCACTAGTTCCAATTTTGGTTCTAAACTATTCAGACGACTTGAAACATTTAGAAAATATAAAACAAACTAAATTATTAGACTATTTTTCTATCTAATTATTTCTCCCTACGTTCATGGTCTAACGCCTCCGACCCGCCCCCAGTTTGATTTCCAAGAGAGCTCCTGAAAAATTCTTTCCTCGCACACATACGATACCTAAAAGTTTTCGCTTCCGGACTTTTCCGCTTCTTTCTGTTCTTCTTGTTTTTCCTGTTTTTTCTGTTTTTCCTGTTTTTCCCGCCTTTTGTTTTATTATGTTAGAGCTTCGAGGTTTTTCCTATTATTGGAGAGAGGCGGTCAACGCGACTGGGCGGCCACGGAAAATAGACGGAGGACTTGGGCAAAAGATTTTTTTTAGATAATTGTAATAGATAATTAGATAATTCATAATTTTTCATTATCAAAAATATAACGAATCTACGACAAGTAGTTAAATTTAATTAAGTGTTGAAAAAAAATTGAAGCCGATTTTTATGGAACTTTTTTTGGCGATATATATCATGGTCTTATAAAACTTACTGAAATATTATGGTCTTACGACAAGTAATTTAATTTAAAAAATTCTAAGTTTGAGAAAATGAGTAGTTTTTTGACGTTTGTTAAAATTAAAATTAAACGATTTACTTGGTATAACGATAGAGTACTTGGTCGAAACTGGTTCAATTAGAAATATTATTAATTTGTGCAAATTTGCTTTTAGAAAATACTCCGAGTTAACGTGTTCGTTTGTTCTCAATTATGTGTAATAAATCCACTCTAAATACTTTTAATCACTCATAAATTAATTAATTTTTTAACTTCCCGTAGGGTAGTTATAATCAAAATCAAAAATGAAAATTTTTGCATTTCTCGACGTTTTGAAAGTTTCTGAACATTTTGACATTCTTCAGAAAAAATGGATGTGTGTGTGTGTTTTGTATGTCCGCATTCTTTCGTCCACGTTTTCGGGTGCACGGATTAACCGATTTGAATGATTCAAAAACATTCGATTTCTATTGATAGGGAGATATGTTGATTCGTTTTTGGCAAAGGCAGGTCTAGCAATTACGGAGATACGAAGCAAAGAGTGCATAAAATACAAATTGAGTTTTTGAGAGAACGGAGCGTCCGATTTGAATGATCTAAAACACATTCAATTTGTAATGATTGGGAGAAGAGGTGATTAGTTTTTGGCAAAGACAGGCCCATCGGTTTTGGAGATACAGAGCTAAATGTTAAAAAAATGGCAGTTTTCGAGTGAACTAAGCGTCCGATTTGAATGATTCAAAGAACTTTCTGCTTGTTTCAACAAAATAATTTTGGAAAAAAAAATGTTTGTTTCTAATTCTTTTTTTCCAAAAATAGTTTTGTAATTTTGGCTTAAAAATTAAAAAAAATCACCCAGGCTAGCGCTAACTCTGGTACAAATAATTACCCAAGTGCGTTCAGACTGTTTATGTTTAAAAAATGTGAAAATGCCTCCAAGCTAAGCACAGTACAAGTGAAAATGTCGCACAGAATTATTTGCAAATGCGTTTAGACTGTGACTATACGGAAACACTTTTTCAATTTTGTGTAAATTAGGCAACTTTTTTTTAATTGAATTCGAAATGAAATGACGATTGTTAATGTTCATTCTGGAGATAAATTAATTTATGATTTACATTTGATTTGCTCAGATATAACAAGATAGCAAAAATGATGAAAGTTACAGTATTTGTAGTATATTTGAAAACGTTTAGGATTTCTCGAATATTTCTCGAATTATGGTATGGGAAGTTTCAGCAATTTGCCTTAAGGCACGATACCAAACACCACTAGTTATTGATTAAGTCGATTATTTACACATATCGAGAGGTTCATGTAACTTGCGTCAAAGCAAAATACCAATACCAACTAGTTTAAATACAAGTTAATAAATTCAATAAATCTATTACTATCTATTACCCCAGCTCGTATGTCTATTTCAAATCGTTTATGGTTCTAGTCGGGCGTCGATGAGAGGTATAAAAGTGTGGGAAAATGTGGGTGTTCGATGTCGACTAAACACCTATCGAAGATAATGACGGCAAAAAAGCAAAGGCAATTCTGGCAATGGATTCCTGATTGAATCGGTTGGATTGATTGCATCATAAATCGATTTGTCAACTCCACTTGACAACTTTGTTAAAGCTGACCCTCCCCTAGAGACGATAGACACAGCCAACACTTTGTTCGACCGGACCGGGGATAACAATTAATTAAAATTTCCATAAACGGAAGCAGTAAAATTTCATAAACCCTGCATATACGAGTATATATATATATATATATATATATATATATATATGTATATATATGTGTATATATATATGTATATATATATATATGTGTATATATATATATATATATATATATATATATATATATATATACTAGATGACCCGACAAACTTCCTGTACCTATTTTATCTAGTTTCTCCCTATTCAACTGAAAAGGGGTGCATTTCCTTGACATTTGTGAGTAATTTGACAAAAACCAAAAATAAGTCCCGAATTTTCTATTAAATGCTAAATAATATAAAAGATCGGGCTGTATTAGAGAAACATGAATGAGCAGAATTTTTTGAACCATTTTTCATCTATTTGTTGGGAAAATACGATTAGTAATTTTATTATTCGAATAATTTCACAAT